TCCCTCTCCCACCCCTCCTTCCCATCCCCCCCAACCCCCTCCCCAATCCCCACTCCACTCTCCAGGGAGGGTGAGGCCCTTCATGGGGGATCTCCAAAGTCTGTCATATCATCCCTGGGGCAGGACCTAGGTCCTCCCCCATGTGTTCAGGCTGAGAGAGCATCCCTCCGCGTGGTATGGACTCCCAAAGTCCATGTGGATGCCAGGGATAAACACTGATCTATTGCCCCAAAGAATGCCGAGGTCTCCTCCTCACTGACACCCACATTCACGGGGTCTGGGTCCCATGCTGGCCTCTGAGCTATCAGTTTGGGGTCCATGAGCTTCCCCTTGTTCAGGTCAGATGTTTTTGTGGGTTTCACCAGCCTGGTCTTGACCCCTTTGCTCATCACTCCTCCTCCTCCTCCTCCTCCTCCTCCTCTATAACTTGTTTCCAGGAGTTCAGTTCAGTGTTTAACTGTGGGTGTCTGGACTCACAGGCTTTCTAAATTACCAACATTAAGGCAGAAGTTCCTTTTTCACAAGATATGTTTAATTTTATGTGTATACGCTCCATTTATGGGACCCTGGCCTCCCTCCTTTGTTTTTGCTTGGTATACCATGCACTCTTTTAGAACCTATGGCACTTTTATTCCACTGTCTATCCTATTCAAACAAAATGCACCCAAATTCCCTGCCCCTTTTGGAGACAGAGTCCTGGAAATTGAACTCAGAGCCTTGTTCATGCTAGATAAATGCTCTATTTCTAATCTATAGCCCCACCCCAAAGTTCTTTCTTCAATTTACACTGGCTTACTCTCCCTCAGATATGACAGACACACTCATGTGGGACCTTTGCAGTGATCAGCCCTCCACACAAATGGTCTCTCTCTGGATATGACACAATTCACACTCCCTAGTTTATTCCAAGTCACGGTCTTTCTGTTTGTTTGGGGTTTTTTGTTTTTTGAGAAAGAATCTATAAAATCCTAGCTTGCCTCGAACTCACAGAGATCCACATGCCTTCTGAGTGCTGGGATTAAAACACTGTGTAAACATTACCTCTTCAAAGCAGCTCTCCCTGACTGCTATCTGAAATCCCTACTCATGCTCATTTTCCTGCCTACTTAACATTCCTCAGCAGAACTTAGAAATGACATACGTCTACTTGATTTCCATCTGCAAGCTAGGACATTGTTTTTCCATAGATGTCCTCATTGTTTATTGGCAAATGAATGGGGCAGATTTCTGATGCATCTTCTCTGTGCAGAAGCAGAAATCCTTACGATGGGGATGTCCTTTGGCATGTCATGACTATGTGTATTGTTTTCATTGGTTGATGAATAAAGTTGTTTTGGCAAATGGACAGGCAGAATTTGGCTAGGTGGAAGTTTTGAACCAAGAGGCAGGGAGAAGGAAGACAGAGTGACTAGACACCATGTAGCCACTAGGGAAACAAGATACCAGGGCATCATCTAGGTAAGCCAAGGTCACATGGGGATTCACAGATTAATAGAAATGGGTTGATAATTAAGAGAGAGCTACGTAATTAGAAGCATGAGCCATCAGCCAAACAATTGTAATAATAAGCCTTGGAGTGGTTATTTCATTGTGGCTGGGGGCGGGGGTCCGGTAAGTGGGACGGAGACAGATGGAGAAAGTCTCCCCTTACATCTTTATGTTGAAAGTGGAGCAACAGCCAGACAGTGGTGCACACACCTTTAATCCCAGCACTCAGCAGGCAGGGGCAGGCGGGTCTCTGTGAGTTTCCCTGGTCTACACAGGACATCCAAGGCTATACAGATAAACCTGTCTAGAGGATACAGGGAGGTTGAAGGGGTAAAGGCACTTCTTAAGTCCAGAGAGATGACAGCAATGGGCAACTATTTAGAGTTAGCTGACATCTCTGGGCCATGTGCCCTGGGAAGTGCTGAAGGCTTTGTTACAGATGTGTGCGTATGCATTCTTGTTACACTTAGTCTCTGAAAATTTCTATACTAGAAGGTTTAGGGGCTCAAGAGATGGCCCAATAGCTAAGGGTGCTCACTGCTCTTTAAAAAGGACCTGAATTTTGCTTCCAACACCCACAACCTTCTGTAACTCCAACCCCAAGGGACCCAGCAGAGGCCGTCTCCTGGCCTCTGCTGATGAATGCGCGTACGTGCGCGCGCACGCGCACACACACACACACACACACACACACACACACACGAGTGCATCAATAGAAATAACAAAAATAGGTCTGTAAAGGATTTATTTTCAGTTTAGAACCTATCAGAATTTTGAAACTAAAGGAGTTCGGTTCCTAGAGGTGCGGTTTGGAATGCCGTGGAGGCTGCAGGACACTGGTGAGCTACAGCAGCTAGCACGGGTGCACCTCTGTCCACTTAGAGTTCAGAATCTGCCGAGTGGCACGCGCCTCCAGTCTCAGCACGTGGGAAAGACGTGAGAACCAGAGGACTGCCCTGAGTTTGAGGCCAATGTGATCCACACAGCAAGTGCCAGGCTAGCCAGGGCTACATAGTGGGACCCTGTCTCCAACTCCTCCCAAAACAGAACTCTGATTTAAGGTTCGAGAGCCTGCTTGATGGCTAAGAGCACTATGTTCTTGTAGATGCCCCTGCATTGAAAGTAAGTAGAACGCCAATCAGCAGTGGTGGAGCACACCTTAATCCCAGCACTTGGGAGGCAGAGGCAGGCGGGATCTCTTGAGTTCAAGACCAGTCTACAGGGTGAGTTCCAGGACAGTCAAAGCTACAGAGAGAAACCCTGTCCTGGGGGGGGCAGTCTATTCTCTCTCTTTCCTCCATATGCCTTAGTTTCATCAACAGCGTAAATAGATACAGTTGGCACCTGTAGTCTGAAAGTTTCATCTCTTAAGATTAGTGAAGCCCAACCTGTAGCCTATGCAAACACCCTAAGAATAAAAAAAAAAAAACTGAAATGCTTCTTGTCTCAAGCATTTACTCTAAGGGTGGGGCAGATAAGAATTAATACCGCTCCCTTCCTGGTACTAGTTCAAGTCTATAATCATGTCCTGCAGATCAGGGCAGCCTCGGAAGAGCCCTGAAAGAGCTGTGCTCCGGAGTGGAGATGGACTGCACACATAGCTCTTACAGGGAAAGCTGACAGTCAGACACCAGTCCATGCTAGGAATCCTTGTCTTGACCTTGTCAGTAGACATGTTCAGCAGAGGTCACAGAGTGCGAAAGGCCATTCATTTCTAGTCCATGCTATGAATCCTTGTCTTGACCTTGTCAGTATACGTGTTCAGCAGAGTTCATAGAGTGTGAAAGGTCATTCATTTCCAGGGTGCCTTTTTATTTATTTGGGGTTCTTTTTTTTTTTTAACAGGGTTTCTCTGTATAACAGCTCTGACTGTCCTGGAACTTGCTCTGTACACCAGGCTGGGCTTGAACTCACAAGATCCGCCTGCCTCTACCTCCCAAGTGCTGGAATTAAAGGTGTGCAACACCACTGCCCAGCTCAGGGTGGCTTTTAAAATCGTTTTTTAAAAGATATTTTATGTATGAGTGTTCTATCTGGATGTACATATTTATGCCAGAAGATGGCATCAGACCTCCCTAGAGATGGTTGTGAGCCACCATGTGGTTGCTGGGACTTGAACTCAGGGCCTCTGGAAGAGCAGCCAGTGCTCTTAAATGCTGAGCCCTAAAATAGATGAATTTTTGGGAGTGGGTGGGAACAGAGGAAAGTGTGCATGAATTCAGCACTCTCAGAGGCTGGGGGGAGACAGTGGCATCCTCTGCTGTTGCAGTTTCACACACCCGTGAGCTGTCTGCTGGAAAAACAGTACTGGAGGGCTTACCCACTGAGCTGCCTCCCCAGCCTCAGACGGTAGCTGCACCTCAGACATGCAAGGCACACCGCTGAGCAACAGCCATTTTCTACACTGGAGGAAGTTTGAAACACTATACTTTGTGTGCATGTGTGTTGAGATAGGGTGACGTCCAACTGGGGATCCTCAGTCTCACGAAAGCTAGGACTGCAGGTCTGTATGTATTAGCACATCTGGCTGGTCGCCCGTCAATTCTAATAGTCCAGACATCTGTGGTGGATGAACAAGGCCTGATACTCCCAGTCAAGCATTTCTTTTTTTTTTTTTTTCTCCCAGCGCACTGCTCCTCCAACAGGTCATCCTGAAAGCCTGGACCCCTGTGAACCCGCCACTTACAGAATAAAATTCTCAGTCTCCTCCAGAAGCCATCAAAGCTGAGACAGTTGATGACCCCAGCGTTTCCTTGCGGATCCAGAAAGGCCACTAGGTGGCGATCTGGAGCTGACCGCAAGATCAGCCTCCTTCCTCTTCCCTTAATTTCCCAGCATCGAGGTCCCTGTCCCGGAGGGACCCGAGTGTCGGGGCTGGCCCGTTTCCCCTGGGTTTCCCCCGTTTCAGAGACAGCCAAGTGCTAAGCGCAGCAAGAGCAGGGGGGGCCCTGCGCTCCCTAGCCCTCCGGGGCAAGCCTGGGAGGGTGCAGAGATCCGAGCCCCGCACTGCGCTGGCTTGGCCGTCCCTCCTCGCCCGTCCGCAGCAGAACCGGCGCGGGGTGACACCCGGTGACCAGCCCCCGGGCAAGCCTTCCCCGCAAGGGGCGCGCCGGCGTCGCTCCGGGTTGGCTACAAGAGTCCGGGAGTTAAACTTTCAGCCAATAAGAAAAGGGCATGAGGAGTGACGCACGGGAACGTCACGGGAATTCCCCCCCTCGGGGGGCCGAAAGGGGCTTTCCCGGCTGGAGCCCGGTGGCCGGAGAGCAGCAGCGACCCGTCCAGGGCAGGGCTCGGGAAGAAGCGGAACCAGAGCCGCCGCCGCGGTGAGTGGCCGGGGAGTGGAGAGGGAGGGGCAGGGCCTCCGGGTGACAGTCCGGGGCTGGACACCACCTCCAGAGCGCACGCCGGCGAGCACGACACCCTGGCCCGCGCCGACAGGTCCGCCGGCCCCGCGGGTGTCAGCCGGTGCGCGCGCGCGACGCCTGCCCGCCCCGAGCGGCTCCAGGACTCACCTGTGCGGACCGACGCTCACTCGCACGTGCAAGCGGCCAGCGCTCGCACTCCCCACGCACTCTAGACTCTAGGGCCGAAACGCACACTCCTGTCGCGGGCACGCGTGTTAGGGATGGTTGTGGCATTGGGGTCTCCAGGGCCGGTCGCCCGGAGCAGGTGCAGCGGGGGACTCCGGGAAACTGAGATGCTCCGGGGTCGCTAGAGCCCGGGGAGGGGGGCACTCCTTTCCCCACCCCAGGCTCTGTCGCAGTCTCTGGGCAGCACCCCGGGGGCCCCACTGGAAGAGCCCCCGCCTACGGGCCGTTCGGAAAGAGGCCTCCGACGGCAGGAATGTCCCCACAAAAGCCCCCGGGTGAATCAGCCGTGTCCGCCACGCCGGCCGAAAATCCCAAGGTTGCTCCAGGCCGCGGAGTGGGGGCAGGCGGCCTAGGCCCCGACCGAGCCCCGGGGGGCTGCAGCCGCTGCGGGGGAACCAGGAACAGCCCAGGCCTCGCGCCCCTCCCGCCGCGGGGGCGGGGCCCCAGCGTCATTTCCAGGCCCGCCCCCTCCGGCTCCGCCTCCCCCTGGTATTTTCGGGACTTTCCTAAGCTGCGCTAACTTTCTGCCCCTTCCCCTGTCCGGCCCCGCTCCGGATCTCGACCTCCACCCGATCTCACCCGCCACGCCCGGACGGGCGGCCGGGGGAGACCAGACCCTCCCCCCGAACCCGGGCCCCCTCTCCCGCCCACCCCTCTCCCCGCCTCCCCTCCCCCATCCCGCGCCTCTCTTCACTTTAGGCGGGCGTCTGAGAATCTCTGGGAAGCCGGACGAGGGCCCGAAGCCGCCAGACACAGTCGGGCCTAGCCCAGAGACATGGACAGATGCTACGACCCAGTGAGTCACGCTGCCTGGCCCTGAAGCCGGCTTGTGCCCCCGTGTCTGTCTGCTCGCTCGTCTAGCGAAGGCTCTCCACTCCCCTGCTTCTGCATGTCTTCCGATGGTCTCAGTCTGTCCGTCTGTCCCGTCTGCAAACTTTGCCCAGACAGAGCCTCCTCGTGGCTTGAGGAGGAGCCCAGTGACTGCTGAGGGTTTGGTCCCGGGAGGAGGAGGGCTCAGATTCAGCTGCCACCTTCTGTCTGAAAACCAGGGTCTGGATGGCATCCCCGATTATGATGATTTTGAGTTCAGCCCCTCCATTGTGGAGCCCAAGGTTCCAGCCCCAGAGACAGGTCAGTGAGCCCACAGCCTCAGGTGTCCCCGCGTGGAGGGGCGTGAGCGTGTGCCCGCTGCCCGAGGGATGGGCTTGCAGATCCTGGCTAAGCAAGGGCCTCTGTTTGCAGCCGACGGCCCCTATCTGGTGATTGTGGAGCAGCCCAAGCAGGTGAGTGAGACGCGGAGGTGTTCCTAGCGTCCACCTTGGGGACAAGTGGGGTAACTATGAACGACGGGAAGCCGCTGCGATTGGATAGGGCTGTTGGTCTGTTGCGGGGAGGTGTTCAGGAGACACACTGTTGGTCATTGTGGTCAGTGGGGGTGGGGGCGCTTGTCTCTCCTGACCGCAATGTCTCTGTCATGGAACCCTCAGCGAGGCTTCAGATTTCGATATGGCTGTGAGGGCCCCTCCCACGGGGGCCTTCCAGGTGCCTCCAGTGAGAAGGGCCGGAAGACCTACCCTACTGTCAAGGTGAGCTTGTGACGCTGGGGGCAGGGGGGGGGGGGCAGTGTGTCCAGAGTGCCACTACTGACAGCCCTTTGCCCTTCTCAGATCTGTAACTATGAGGGACCAGCCAAGATCGAGGTGGACCTGGTAACTCACAGCGACCCACCTCGTGCGCACGCTCACAGTCTGGTGGGCAAGCAGTGCTCAGAGCTGGGGGTCTGTGCCGTGTCCGTAGGACCCAAGGACATGACAGCTCAGTAGGTGCCCCCGTTCCTGGCCCCCAAAGGGATGCGCATGGCCTGCCAGTCTTGGGTCCCGGCACACAAAGGGGAGAGACTTTTACTTTGGCCCAGAACCCCAGGGCTCAAGTATAAAGCACAGCTTCCTTGGAGGACAAAGCCAGGCTGAGCAGTGGGGAGGCTGTTTGGGGGGGGGGGGGGGGAAGAGCTCCGTGGACAAAGCGCTCAGACTCCTCCTCCTCCTCCCCAGGTTTAATAATCTGGGTGTTCTGCATGTAACCAAGAAGAACATGATGGAGATTATGATTCAAAAGCTTCAAAGGCAGCGGCTGCGTTCCAGTCCCCAGGGCCTTACAGGTATGGCCGCTAAGGGTTGCCGGGTGTCGAGGGGCAGGGTAGTGTGGCCCAGCGCTCACCCCAGCCTGGCTGTCCGTCAGAGGCTGAGCGGAGGGAGCTAGAGCAGGAGGCCAAGGAGCTGAAGAAAGTAATGGACCTGAGCATTGTTCGCCTGCGCTTCTCCGCTTTCCTTCGAGCGAGCGACGGCTCCTTCTCGTTGCCCCTGAAGCCGGTTATCTCGCAGCCCATCCACGACAGCAGTGAGTACCCTGGGGTGGGAGCACCCACACGAGCATTGGGGTGCCTTCAGTCCGTGGGGGCGTGAGCTGCCGACACGTGTGCCGTGAGTGGGCTTAAGCTGGTCCGAGTGCTGCTTCTGTCTTTTCCTGACGTGAGAAAATGACCACAAAGCCAATGTAGCCCTAACCCATCTCCCTCCTAGAGTCTCCAGGAGCCTCAAACCTGAAGATTTCCCGAATGGACAAAACAGCAGGCTCTGTGCGTGGTGGAGACGAAGTCTATTTGCTTTGTGATAAGGTGCAGAAAGGTGAGGGCCCTCTGGGAATTAAAAACACTGGTTGTTGGGGGGCGGGGCGGGGGCGGGGCAACCTCAGAATGACCGCCCTGGACGTGCAGATTCTCCCTGTGGCTAAGCTTCGCTTTTCTCGGTAGATGACATTGAGGTTCGGTTCTATGAGGATGACGAGAACGGATGGCAAGCCTTTGGGGACTTCTCTCCCACAGACGTTCATAAACAGGTACTGAGGGGCTAGGGCCTGACCTGGAGGCAGAACTGGGCAAAGATCTCACTGACACCAAAGGTCTTTCTCCCACCCTCCACCCCAGTATGCCATTGTGTTCCGGACACCGCCTTATCACAAGATGAAGATAGAGAGGCCTGTAACGGTGTTCCTGCAGCTGAAGCGCAAGCGTGGGGGGGGATGTCTCCGACTCCAAACAGTTCACCTATTACCCTCTGGTGGAAGGTGGGGCCAGGCTTCAGGATTCCCAGGGGCAGGAGGGGGCAAGGTGGCCTCGATGGCACCCTAGAGGTGGCTGCTGGTGCCGGGCTTGGAGACTCCCGTGTGTTGGAATTTAACACCCTGTTTCTTGTTCCCCTAGACAAGGAGGAAGTGCAGCGGAAGCGGAGGAAGGCCTTGCCCACCTTCTCCCAACCCTTCGGGGGCGGATCCCACATGGGTGGGGGCTCTGGGGGCTCTGCTGGGGGTTATGGAGGCGCTGGAGGAGGTGAGCGGGCCCAGTGGCCGGGAGAGGGGTGGAGGAGATGAGGGAAAGTTAGAAGAGAAGTCTGGGAGAGTCCTGGCTGGCACCTCACAGCCTTGCCCATGCCCACAGGTGGCAGCCTCGGCTTTTTCCCCTCCTTGACCTACAGCCCCTACCAGTCCGGCGCCGCCCCAATGGGCTGCTACCAGGGTGGAGGGGGCGGAGCGCAGATGGCCGGCTCTGGGCGGGGCGTGGATGCTGGGGAGGAGGCGAAAGATCCGAGCGCGCCCCCGGAGGTCCCCCAGGGCGAACCGCCGGCCCACGACGCGCTGCAGCGAGGTATGTCTCAGGAGTGCTGGCAGGCGGGCGCGCTCCGGACTGGGGACCTGGCCCGCACCCACGCGCCCTGTCGCCTCCAGCTCGCGAGTACAACGCGCGCCTGTTCGGTCTGGCGCAGCGCAGCGCCCGAGCGTTGCTGGACTACGGCATCACCGCGGACGCGCGCGCTCTGCTGGCGGGACAGCGCCACCTGCTGACGGCCCAGGATGAGAACGGAGACACGTAAGCCGCCCGAGGGCCAGCAGCCTGGGGACATCCAGGGGGTCTCCTGGTACCACCAGGTCTAGAGGTTGGCAGTAGAAGAAACTGGAAAGAGCCGAATCCTAGAGTCTAACATGTCTGGTCTCGGATCCTCGTTATTTTCTAGTTGTGTTCAAGAAATTTATTCTTCCCCAACCTTCAATTTTGTTAGCTGTGAAAGGGGCACAGTAGCAAGGTGTGACAGAGGATAAAGATGTTGACGTTCAGGGTTCACCAGTGAAGGTGACCATGAAGGTGTTGAGTTTTGAGGGCAGCTGATGCTCTGGGTGGCTGAGTCTCACTCTCCAACCCCCAGACCGTTGCACCTGGCCATTATCCATGGGCAGACTGGTGTCATTGAGCAGATAGTCCATGTCATCTATCATGCCCAGTACCTTGGGGTCATCAACATCACTAACCACCTGCACCAGGTAAGGGTGAGGGTGAGGGGCAGGGTTTGAAGGCAGGGAGTCCTAAGCTGCATTGAGCCTGGCTGTCTCTGCCTTCCCCTCCAGACACCTCTGCACCTGGCAGTAATCACTGGCCAGACAAGGGTAGTGAGCTTCCTGCTGCAGGTGGGTGCGGACCCCACACTGCTGGATCGCCATGGAGACTCCGCTGTGCACCTGGCTCTGCGGGCGGGTGCTGAAGCCCCAGGCCTGCTGCGGGCACTGTTGCATAGCGGGACCCATGCCGTGCCCCAAATATTGCACATGCCTGATTTTGCAGGTAAGTTTCCCACCTCCTCCAGGCCTGAGACAAGGGTGGAGACCAAGAAGGATAGAGGGTTAGTAGACATGGGTTGCCGGGTCAGGGTTTGTTCGGAGGCCACCTTGGGGTCACCGCTGCAGGTCGGGTGTGCTGTCTCTCTAGGACTATACCCAGTACACCTGGCAGTTCATGCCCGGAGCCCCGAGTGCCTGGATCTGCTCGTTGACAGAGGAGCTGAGGTGGAGGCGGCCGAGAGACAAGGGGGCCGAACACCCCTGCATCTAGCCACGGAGATGGAGGAGCTGGGGCTGGTCACCCATCTGATTACCAAGGTGGGAGTGGAGACTGGAAGGGGCGGGGAGGGTTGTGGCAGGAACGGGAGTGGTGAAGAGGTGTATGGAAAGGCTCCGCTACTTGGGCCATGCTGGTCACGACTTGCCGCCCGCAGCTCCATGCTAACGTGAATGCACGGACGTTTGCTGGAAACACGCCCCTCCACCTGGCAGCTGGGCTGGGATCCCCAACCCTCACTCGCCTCCTCCTAAAGGCTGGTGAGTTTCACCCTTACGTATGAAGGGGGCAGGAAAGAGAAAGGGGCCTCCCAGCCACTGTGCAGTCCTCAGTGTGGAACCCTCCACTGGTCTCTTCTGACGGCCTGGCTCCCTCCTGCAGGTGCTGACATCCACGCAGAGAACGAGGAGCCTCTGTGCCCTCTGCCCTCACCCCCCACCTCTGGGAGCGACTCTGACTCTGAGGAACCTGAGAGGGATACCCAGAGAAGTTTCCGGGGACACACACCTCTTGACCTCACGCGCAGCACCAAGGTGAGGCCGTCCTAGCAATAGAAATACGGAGGTGGCCACTGGACTAACCCTAACCCTAACCCTAACCCTAACCTCCTGGGCTGGGGGATGTGGGCCTGATCACAGACTTGAGGAGAGCTGGCTTAAGGTCTGGGATGAAAGGCAACACTGTCCCCCAGGTGAAGACTCTGCTGCTAAATGCTGCTCAGAGCACCATGGAGCCGCCCCTGGCACCTCCCAGCCCTGCAGGTGAGATAGGCAGGCGTCTGCAGTCTCAGGCGCCTCGTCCCAGAGGTGATCTCCTTAGGACTCCCTTTCTCTACCCTCTGCATCCCATCAACGTCTGCCTTGTCTGTCATGTCACCAGGGACAAAAGCTGTGTCCAGGTATGTCTCCCTGCCCAGCCCTGCAGCTACCTCACAGATGATCTGTTTGTCTCCTCAGGGCCAGGGCTGTCCCTGGGGGATGCAGCCCTGCAGGACCTGGAGCAGCTGCTCGATGGGCCAGAAGCCCAGGGCAGCTGGGCAGAGCTGGCAGAGCGGCTGGGGCTGAGGAGTCTGGTGGACACATACAGGAAGACCCCCTCACCCAGTGGCAGCCTCCTGCGCAGTTACAAGGTGGGCACTCGGAACCCCGCTTAGCTTCCAGAGACCCATCTCAGAGTCTTCCCACAGGACTTCCTACCCACACCCTAGACATCACTGGGGCCTCCTCTCCTTTCTCATCAGCTGGCTGGTGGGGACTTGGTGGGTCTGCTGGAGGCCTTGAAGGACATGGGTCTACACGAGGGAGTGAAGTTGCTGAAAGGTCCTGAGACCCGGGACAAGCTGCCCAGCACAGGTAAGGGCTGGCTTGGAAGGGGCATCTGGGCTGAGGGTGGGAGGCCGAGGCTCAACTCCCTCCTGTTTCCCCAGCAGAGGCCAAAGAAGACAGTGCCTACGGGAGCCAGTCTGTGGAGCAGGAGGCAGAGAAGCTGTGTCCACCCCCTGAGCCGCCAGGAGGGCTCTGCCATGGGCACCCCCAGCCTCAGGTGCACTGAATGGTGCCATCCTCTCCCACCTGGACCCCTCTGTACAGCACCCTGCCTCGCCTATATCTTATTTAACACCTCGAGCCCACACCTCAGTGGGCCAAATAAAGGATTCCTTTGGGAAGGGGAAGGCCCATTCCCAGCTTACGGTACGGCAACCCCAATGTGATGCCCATCCCTGCCCCTGAGTGCGAGGAGAGGATACCCAGCCAGCAATTCAGAGCAGTTTTAATGAGGGTGGAGGCTATACAAAGGGCGGGGCCCACCAAAGGAGGGGAGCCCCACCTGTGGATGGGACCTCAATGTGGACGCCCTTCCTGTCTCTGAAGAGAGAGGTGAGCCCTTGGGGAGAAAGACGGGGACCAGCTCAGCCCCAACTCCTGGCCTCTGTCTGAGCCAGGCCCCAGGATGAAGGGTACTGCTGGTGTCAGGGTGGGCGGTCTCAGCAGAGAGCGGAAACTTTATCAGGCCTCCCCCCATGAAAGGAAAACAAAAGAAAACCCCAATCAAAAATGAGGGGCATGGGCCCCTCCCACCCTACCCACCCTTCCTGTACGAAAAAGTGCAAAACATTATCACAAAAAAGGGGGTCTCTGAGAGGCCCTTAGCCTGGGCTCTGAGGCCCGGCTCAGCCCTGCCCTGCCCCGGACACCGCGTCCGGCGCGGTCGGGCCCTGGGCCAGGAGGCCCTCGTGGGTGGCCCGAGGCTAGCTGAGCTCGGGCAGGGCTGTGTCATCATGCAGGTGCCCAGCGGGCACCGCCCCCATTGCTCCTGTTCCCTGCTCAGGGCTTTGGCCTTGAACTGCCTGCCCCAGCCCGGGCTTCCGAGCCAGAACGCTGAGCCCGGGTCTGGCTGGTGGGGTTGGGGTTGGGCTGCAGGGAAGGACTGGAGTGAGGTGGAGGGCATCCGTCCTCCGTGCTCCCGGCCTGGGCCAGTGCTGCCTCTACGGCATCCAGCTCCTCGCTGGCTGCCTTCATCTTGACTCGAAGCAGCGCCGCATAGGTGCCATAGCGGGATTTCTGAGGCAGAAGACCAGAAGTGATCAAAGCCTGCCCCCTCTTCTGACCCACCCCACCCACCTACCATCCAAGAGATGCTGGGTCCTACAAGACATCTTTGAGAGGTCTTGATGACCCTCCCCAGACTCTTAGAACCACCTGTAATGACAGCCTTTCTGTAGCCTTTACAGGGCTGGCAGCATGGAATATGTAACAGACATGTCACTTGACCCTAGTGGGTATGGGACTTAGACTTGATCCCCAGAAGAGAAAATTACTTGCAGACTAGGCAATCTGCCAGTTACCTGGCTGGGTCTCATGCTTTGATGCCATGCTCTTAGCCCATGCCTGGTGTCCTACGTGGGGGTCACCAAGACATGAGGCAGGGAGGCTCACCTCGAACTCCAGGTAAGCCTCCTTCTGCCGCTGCTCATCAGCCTCCTTGCCTCGGGCCTTCTTTCCCAGGTGTGCAGCCCGGTGCTCGCGGAGTTCGCTTGCCATGGCCTTCATCTTGGCCTCATGGGTCCTCACCTGCTCCTCCTAACAGCCAGCGATGCCCGGTCAGAGTCACCAGTCTACAGGCCCTTGGTGCAAACTAACAAGGGGCTACATGTCCATCACCACTATGCCCCCCCTCCTATGACCCATGTAGGGCTGTGCTACACAGCTAATCACATGCAGCCTGGAGTACAGCTTAACACCCTGACCTGTTCCATCCCACCGTCAACAGGCGGCCGAGGGATTTGGGACTACCTGGGATAGGCGGGTGGCGGCACTGGGAAGCAGAGGACGGCTGAATTTCTTCTGGGAACTAACGGCAGCTGGGAAGGGGGGTGCAGAGAACATGGCAGCCACCACATTGATGCGAGTGATCCAGGACTGCATCTGCTCCAGGCTCCTAGGGAGACAGCACAGGGACCCCAGGTTCCTGTCCAGGAGTGCCAGTCCCAACCCGGAGTGTGGTCTTATTTATTAGTTTATTCATTCATCGAGACAGTCTCAAGTATCCCAGGCTAGGCTCAAACTGGCTGTGTTGTCAAGGATGACCTTGAACTTCTGACCTTTTTGCCTCCACCTCCTCAGTGCTGGGATTATAAGCATGCATTACCAGGTCTGGCATCCACAGGGCTGGGATCTGAACCCAGGACCTTCTGCATACTGCACAACTAACCGAGCTGTGGAGTGTGGTCTCAGAAGGAAAAGGGAACCAAGGGACAGGGTCTAGAGTGGGTAAGAGGAGGACACTCACGGGGCCTGGAAGAGGAAGACCCGCCAGTCAGCAGTGCGCAGGTAGAAGACGTGTGGCCTCTTGCTGTAATCACTGGCTCGTGTGGCCAGGGCATGGTGGATGCTGATGGCATTCTTCAGCTCTGCCTCGGAAAGAGCCTTCCCAGGCTGGTACTCCTCCTACGGGGGTGCCCATCTTGTCCTGCCCCGGCCAGGCCTGGCCATCTCAGCCACCTACTCCCCTTGGCCAAGCCAGCCCCGCCACCCCACTCCTGGCCCCGCACCTTCTGCAGATAGAGGATCATGCCCTTGAGAACCCCGTGGAAGCTCTTCCAGCCACGCTTCCCTCGAGGTGCTAGGGAGGAAAGGCAGGTCAGCATGGCCTGAGGAAGGCCACCCCCCAGCCCCCAGTCCCCTGCACAGCCACGTACTCTTTCTGCAGTCAGGGTCCGCGTGCACCTTTCGAACCAGGGCTCCGTGCTTGTAGACAGCAGCCCCAGGCTCAGGAGTCAGGTCCAGGAAAGGGCTGGAGCTGCTGCCACTGCCCCCGCTGACCCTCTTGATGACCTTGGGGTTAGGGTCGGCCAACTCAGACAGCGACCGTCTCAGCTCCTCCTCGTCTCTGCAGGTGTGATTACTTCAAAGCACTGGCTTGCAGCCACACACCTTCAGCCCTACACACAGCCACACACCTTCAGCCCAAGCTTCTGGCCTAGAATGCTCCTCTTTAGTGATGAGAGGCTGCCAGGGACTCCCCTCAACTGAAGTCTCTACTGTCTCTCAGTAGGGCTTCCCCAGGCTGCAGGTCTGGCCCCTCCCTCGGATGTCCTCCTTCCGGAAGAACCACGCCTGGACCCTCCTCCCCCTCCCATCGTCTGGGTCCGCACACACTCAATTCTGACACTTTTCTTCTGGACAGACACGTGTGACTCAGCTCTGTCCCAACCACACCTAACAGCAGACTGCTCACAGTTTCTGGTTACTGCTGCCGGAAGGCAGAGATGGGCAGAGCCTGGTAGCCCATGCCTGTAATCCCACCACTGGGGAGGTTAAGACAGGGCTGTCAAGCCAGCCTGAGACGTGGTGTGAGGCCCTGTCTCAGAATCCAAAGGGAAAAGGTGACCTCTTAGTGCCCTCAACGTCTTTGCTCATAAGTCCCGTCAGAAAAATCGGACTCTCTTGTTGACTTGCTCAAGAATTTCCAAACGCCCCATTGCCTCCTGCATGTCATTAATTCGCTCCCCCACTCTCCTTTCCAACCATCCTGGCCAGGCCACCGGCCTTGACCCCCACTTCCACAATGACTTCAGTCACACCTCTGTCTTCCCAATACCAGCCCCCCTTCGTATCCTACAGGGCCCTGCGGACTTCAAGGCTCGCCTCCACAGAGGCTTCCTTGGCGTCCTCCTCCCTTCCTGCACACTGGTCCCAAGCCCTGCTCTTCAGAGCTGTCCCTACAACCAGAAGCTTCTGTGTAAGCTGAGCCATGACTGGACTCCCAGAGAGCAGCAAGTGTGGTGTCCACTGGCGTTAAAGCAAGGGCTCTCTCAGCCTGGGGCCCCAAAGACAGAACACTTCCAAGACAAGGACGAAAACAGTATCCTTGTTCTTGACATTCCAAGGTAACTCTAGCACTCCCAGAGCTGGCCCGCTTCCTCGTTGGCTGCCAGGGGCCTCCTCCATTTCAGCACACACACACACACCCCACTGTGCCAACCCAGCTTGTCATAACAACAGAGCTAGACACAAGACAGACCCCAAGTCTAGGCAAGCATTTCCAAAGAAGGAAGTGAGGTAGCCTTCCTGCTTCTTAGCTTCCACCCGCTCCCTGTACCCACACCCCAGTTCTCTGGTGCCCCTGGGCTCCCCCTTCCTCTAACCCCAACGCTAATCCTAACCCTTACCAAACAGCCCCACTACTCACATGGCCCACTGCAATTTTTCATTCTTGATGGAGCTGTACAAGGCCTGGAGAGAAACAAATCAAGGGGTGTTTTAATCCTGTGGGGAGGTACAACAAGTACCCCATGTCAGAGCTCAGAACCTTTCCTCCTAGCTTGGGAGAGAAGACAGAACTACGAGGAGGGACATGATGACCACACCCGGGCTGTGGGACACAGCACCGAGACCGGGGCTGTCTCCATGGTTTCCAGAGGGAGAGCACGCATAGCAACACGTGGGGGCAACTGGCTAGTCAGCACGGGAAACCCTGGCCCACTGCTGGTGCATAGTAACTGCTGGTGGCTATTATTATCTGTTATTAAGGGGTTCTCCTGCTCAGAGCCCGGTAGGGGACGCACAGCCCTAAATGGAATCAGAGACCAGCCAAAGAAATCCTCCTTCCTCCAACCATGTGCTCTGGTCCGATTCCACAGCGTAAACCCACACAAAGCAAATGGGGAAACTAAGGCTCTGTGATAGAGTGTTCCCCCTCTTTGGATCCCAACTGCCGAACAAAGTGTGAGCCTTCACCCAACTCCAATAGCACCATCGAACCAGATACCAAGGAGCTCAGTGCTCTCTCTACCCACAGCCATATTTCATACAATTGTAGAGTCTCAGCTTCCAGTCACTGTCTACCCCAAACTGTGGGTCCTGAGTCAGTAACTTCCCCTCTGTACAGTTGCCCTGGGAGCATCTGAGGGTTGTGCAGTGTCAAAAGACAGAATGGCCTTCAGAAGTCGTGTACAAGACCCCTGTCCTTGAGGACGGCTCAGAATATACCAGCGATTCCAACTGTGGGGGTGCTTCTGCCAGCCTTCTGTGAGTGGGTGTGTCCCCAGCATGTGCGTGTTTTGCTGTGGGGCTGTGATGCTGCCTGCGCGTGAGTTGGGTGCAGCGGTGACGTCGGTGCCTTCCTGGTGCTGGGACACAGCACCCCCTCATTCTCCCAAGACACCACAGGCTCCATTCCGAGATTCTCATAGCCATGCCCAGCCACAGGCTATCCAGGCACTCCATGCCTGCACATCCTGTCCGCAGGTAGGTGAACCCCAAAGCCTCCACCTCGCATGACACAACCGAGGCTAATCAACACACAGCTCTCAACACACCTGGGCCAAACCCAGCAGGGCTCAGACCTTGGACCCTTCACTCCTCAACTATGCAGCCAGGAGGCTGGAGTAACCACCAAGATGCAAGCCGCAACCTTGTCTCCAGCCTTCTAGGTCTTCATCTTGTCCCCCTCAAGACTACCTGGGCCCACAACCACACCTTCCTTCCTCTGAAGGTCCCGAACCCCGTCACAGAGTCCTATGTAGACTCCCATCTAGAAAACCCTGCTCACCCAGAATTCTGTGGCTGGTGAGGAAGGTCCACCTTGGCCCACCCCCACAACCCATGCCCAGGAATTCTATCCCTGTTGGGCTCCCTGAACTCCTTCGCCCCCACCCATGCTCGCTCTCCTGCCCTCAGCACCTCCCTCAAGCCGCCCCCTCACTCGCCGCCCGGCCTGGCGTGGGCCGCGGGCCCCACGCCCTCACCGCCTTTTTCTTCTTGCGGCTCTGCAGGCGGCTGACCACCAGGTCGGTGTAGAGCACGGGCTTGAGACTGCGCGAGCGCTGCGGCCAGCCGTAGCACAGGGTCTCCGCGCCGCGGTGGGTGCGCCCGTAGCGCACCGAGCAGAGCGAGCGCGAGCGCAGCCGCCCGGCGCTGCTGTGGATGCTGTTGACGCCGATCATGCTGGCCCGGCCGCCGCGCCGCGGCCCCCGGCCATGCCCCCGCCCGTCCTCGGCCCCGGCTCGCCCGGACGGCCGCGGACGGCTCCCCGATTGCCGGCGCGAGCGCCCGGCCCGAGCCCGCCGGCTCCCACCGACGCACCTAGTGCTCGGCGGCGGCGCTGTGGGCTCCGCAGCTCCGCAGAAGGAGGGGGCGCCGGCGGGAGGGGAGGGCGCGAGCTGGGGCGGGGACGTCGCGCTACGGAGCAGCACGGCGCGAGCCCGGCGCCGTGGGGAGGGCCGGCGGCGAGCGGGGGCGCATGCGTGGGGGCTCGCCAGGGGGCCGAGCCCGCGCGCACGAGAGGCGGCTGCGAGCGGCGTCCGGAGCACCCTTCAGCTTGTCAGGATTTGAGGACTGAGGGGACCGGTCGGCCCGTTCCCCTACCCTCTACCCTCCAATGAGACTTGCGGGGCGGCCTTCGAACAGCCGCGACCTCGTCCAACCCATAAGCCGATACCCCAATGTCCAAGCCAAGTCCATATGCCACGAAGTCAGACATAGCAACTTGCCAGATGCATTGATTCCCATTCACCCAAAGTTACAGATGTACACCTCAAAAGGAACCGTCTACAGCTATAAACACCCTCTACTGTCAAATCAGACAGCCAACTGGAAGATGCATGCCATGCTGCATCACACACAAATGCCCAAACTACACCCAAAGCACAAACACCCCAAGTCACACAGGTCCCTTGATTCAAGCACAGTTGTCAAACACACACAACTCTGGTAAACACCCCAATTCATCGGCATCTCAGCTCACAGCAGACGCGCACACTCAGATACATGCTCAAATTCAGGTGCCCAATATACCCAATCCCGGACCTGTCCCGTGTGGTCACATGTATAGAGTGGCCCAGAAACCCCCTTCTTCAAGTTAGCCCAGGCCTTCTCCCTCATGGGGAGGAGGGAGCTGCGAGACAGGGTGGGACGGCCCCTCCCCGTGGCACCTGTCTCACTCCTGGCACCTGGGTGTAGGACCTGCTTCCAAACAAGAGCAGTGTCTAGTCCCAGCGTTGTGCCCTGGATGCAAGAACCTGGGGAAACCTTTGCGCCCTTGCCTCTACCTTAGGCTCCCTCCTGGGCAGTGGTGCCAGGAGGGTCTTTGTGTCCCCTGCACACCCCACCCCCACACACTAGCAGAGACCTCCCCCCCCCCCGCCCTCCGTGAACACTGGAAAGGGACCGAAAAGAGTAAACGCAGAGTCCAGGACAGCCTGCTCACGTGTTTTCCAGAGCCGGCCCCCCTTTCCCCTGCCTCAGGATTGCATGCGCGTGCGCATGTGCGGTGAGAGCCTGCCTGTGGGGGCTGGGCGAGGGGGCGGGCCCCAAGCTGAGTCACTAGAGCCCAGGTTCCTGCCGCCAGAGCCACCCAAGTCCCAAGTCCCAGTCCTCCCTTCCTTGCAAGCCTGCTGCTGGGCAGGCGCCCTGTTCGTCCCTTCTAGCAATATCTACAGGCTAAGTTTCCCCTCCCCGCAACCTTGAGCAGCTCCCTGGGGAAGTCGCCGCCATCATTGAGGCCCTCCAGGTTTCCGATGAAGTCCCCACATGTCATGCGCTTCCCAATGTTCTAAGGGAGGAAAGCAGAGATCTGTGAGGTTGGGAGGTGCTTAGCTTCCCAACGCTTTTAAGTCTCTTTTGTTTTCTGGCGCCCACTTGCCGTGCCCCCACTCACGTGGCCGTGGAGATCTGTGTTGAGGAGCATGAGGGCACAGGTCAGCGTGTGAGCACCGTCTAGGAGGAAATTGCCAGCTTTAGCCACCTCCCGGGGTTTTCCCCACAGCACTCAGTCCATCACCCACCCCTTTTTGCGCCCTTCTGGCCTCCACTTTCTTGCTGTCTGAACTCTGAACCCATTCCATCTCTCCCGCAGCCCATTTCCTCAGCAAGGGCCCCGCCTCGGATCTCTGGTTTCCCCTCCCTCGTTCCCCAAGTGGCTGGGGTGGTTGCTCCCTGCCTGCCCCCAACACTCAACATGCTCAAAACAAAAGCAAACACACATATGTAGAGCCAGTCAGCACTGAGGCCAGATCTGGAACAGCTTCATGCGAACACACCTCCACCTGCCCCTCAACACACACTTGACCTGGCAGCACGCCTGCCACGTGGACAGCGCCATATGCATGCAGCTGTATTTATCCTGACGCATGTGCACACGCCTGCAAACATGTACATGCATTCCCTCTTGCACAAGCACTTGCTCCTGTGTATGTGTGGCCCCCGTGGCCAGCTGGGACAATCCTGCTCCCAGGCTGCTCACCCTCTGAGGACAGGGCTTCAGGATTGCACTGGAAGTACCGCTGGGAGAAGTGGGCCAGTACACGCTCCCGCTCCTGGGTCTCACCCATTAAGGCCAGCTCCTTTAGAAACACCCTAGGGGAAGAAGACGATGTCACCCCCCACTCAAGACTCCTTACCGGGAAGTCGTGGTCTCTGAAGAGTGATATCCAGACAACTTAGAAGCACACAGTCTGGTGGGGAGGACTATCCGCAGAGGTTAGACACCCACCTGAGAGCTTGATCCAGAGTCATGCCCGTGAAGACAAAGAACTTGAGATACTCGCCAGCCACCAATTTGCTGAAGTCGTTGCTGTGGGCAGGGCAGACAGGTAGGCGTCACAAGGGGAAGGATGAAGGGGCCAGCTGGGCATTGCCTAGAGGCCTTGGGCATTAACTGGAGAGGATGCATTCCTTGACCCCAGCCTCAGTCCCAGCCCGGGGGCATTACTTCTTGCCCAGATGCCGGGCCACATCGGCCTTCCTGAAGCCATCAAGTCGGTACAGCCTCTTGGCCAGGCGCTGTGCAGCCTCCAGGTCTGCTTTCTGCCCATTGGACAAGGTATCTGTGCTTCCCAGGGCCAGCCGCTCTGTGCTGTCCAGCTCTGAGTCTGAGTCGGACACCAGCTGGCTTAGGGGTGGTTCACTGCCAGAGTAGAGCAGCAACTGAGGGCTGGGGCAGAGCCTGGGGATCATCCAGAGCCCCCCTTTGCTCTAGACCCGGAAGTTGGGGAATGGCTGGAGGGACATGGAAAGGTCATTTTCTTTTTTCCAGGGGAGGAGATTGGTTATAGCTTCCTCTCAATCTGCCTACTTTGTCTTCTGTCAATGGAAGTTCTACCTCAAATCTAACCCATATCAGTGCTATGGGAGTCCTGGCTGCTCCCCAAAGCTCCCGGGGACCCAAGTTTGTTCTTTGATATAGAGTCCCCCATCTCCACACCTGCCCTTCCCCTCAAGGCAGCCTCTGTCTGCACACACACACTCCTGTGCACTGGTGCTCAGGTATGGATGGGAAGCGCAGTGAGGTCATGCAAAGACCTGGGAGCAGGAGGGATCCCTCCTGTTCCTTTCATTTCCGGCCTTTCAGAGGACTCTTCCCCGGTGCTCCCTTCTACCCACAGAGAAGCAGTTCCTGGGGTTACAGTTTTGGGGGTCAGAGTGCACCCCTCATCCTTTTCCTCTCCTTCCTTCCCCACCCAGCTGCTCTACTAGCAAAGCCACCTGTCACCCCAGAGACAGAGGCCGGAAACTCCTGGTTGCTAGGCAACTCAGTCTCCCTGGCCACCTCCTCCTGTTGCCATGGCGTCCATGACTGAGAGGGTAGCAGCAGAGGGGAGAGCACAAAGGTTAGGCTATGAAAGGACATTCCTAGAGCAGCCTCCTGGAGGAGCGGGTGGTGGGAGGGGAAGGGAGGGGCTTTTGCCTGTGGGTCTGGCTGGGTGGGGATGAGAGGCTCTATCTGGGGAGGAGAGAGCCCTCCAGGAGAGAAAGAGGATGTTCTCTGGGGATTCTTCCATCCTGAATCATGGCTTCTCCAGTCACTGGATCTGAGCCCAGGGAGGGAGCTGCAGGGGGCCAATGGCAGGAGGCCTCCAAACAGGAAGACAGACATCTGGTAACCACCCGCTCTTGGTCAGGAATATTAACTACTTCCTCATTCTGGGGCTCTGTCCCTTAATCAGCAATTCTTGGGAGCCTGGGATTAGGGCTGACCAATAAAAGAAAATACTCACCTGCCAAGGGGTGCTGCCCCCAGCCCAAGGCTATCCTCAGAGTGGGAGGGACTAGGAAGCTCCCTCCTTGGGGCCAGCTTGGTCCCAGCATCTGACTCTTCTGTCACCCCTCTTTGGGTCCGCAGACCTTCAGCAGCAGAGCTGGTACCAGAATCTGGTTCAAGAGGGGCAAGTGGGGCAGGTGCCGGTGGGTCAGGCCGGGGAGCTGGGGGCTGGGGAGGTATCTCAAAGGTGAAGAAGGGGCTCTTGGTTGGGCCAGGTGAGGCCAGGGCCTCCAGGGAGGCAAGGCTGCTATAGGAGGTGCCCTTGGCCCGGTGTGACTCCAAGATGGCTTCAAACACACAACTGAAAGAGTCAGGCCCATCCGCTGAAGGGCTGGTCCCAGGTAGGAAGGGCACTGGTGACTTGAGAGGCCCAGAGAATGGCATGTGGTCCCCTGGTCTGCAGAGGCAGGGAGAATGTCTCATCAGCTTCCCAGAACCCGGCCTTGGCAGGATTTCATAAACTCTTGCTGACTGACACAGGGACTATCATACCCTTGCCATAGGCCCAAGACCCCTAAGAGAAAGCCAGGAGGGGAGAGGGCCCATGAAATCCAGTGCCTGTGGTGTCCCGGTCCTGCCCATGCTTACCCCGTCCCTCCTTCCCTCTCCCTGCTAATCTCCCTTTCTCCTCCTTTCCCCTGATCCGCTTCCCTCCTGCCATCCCTGTTCTATTTCTGGCAGCATCTTAGGAGAAGATGTGGCTCCAAGCTGCAGTAGGGCGTGAGACAGAAAGGAAAAGCCCCACACTTTGACACTCCCTTGCCAGGACCCGGGATCTAACCCATGCTCCCATGTCCTCAGGCTGGCTCCCATGTCCTCAGGCTGGCTCCCATGTCCTCAGGCTGGCTCCCATGTCCTCAGGCTGGCTCCCATGTCCTCGGGCTGGCTGACTCTGGCTTCTGGCCACTGATAATCTAGAACCCTGCCTCATCCGTGTGGCTGCCCCGACTCCTGGGTTTGCCCAATGCCCACACATTCCTAATAATCTCCCAGACCTCAGACCTCTGCCTGGAATCTTCCCATACTGCCCATGCCCTGGTCCTCGCAGGCCTGCCTTCTCTACCCCAGGTTCTTGCTGGAGTAGACAGGACACAGAGCTGCTTTCCTCTCCCCGCTCCTCCCACTCACCGGGGCCCCTCTGAGGCCTCAAACACCTCATCCTCCACGTCCTCGTCACCTCCAGCCTCATCTTCATTGCCACTGCCCAAGCTGGAAGGAGGGCCAGGGCATGGGCTGGGTCGTGGGGCAGGGGGGCGGGCAGTGCCGGCAGGGCCTTCCGAGCTGGGCTGACTCTCGATGGCCGAGTCAGCCTCCTCCCGCTCCGCCAACACCTCGTCGATGTTGGTCTCCCGGTAGCACCTCAGGGGTACCGTGTCCAGGTCTGTTTCAGAGTACTTGGCTGCTCGCCCCACAGCCACCCCAGAGCCTTGCTTGGAGCCCGCCCCATGTGATGGGAGGACTTGCTCTGGGGGTTTAGCACCTGTATGCACAGACGTCCAGGTCAGGAGGTCATTTATGATGGGCAGCTTTCCCACAGCCTCACACAGGCTGGAGTCTTTCGTCATCTAACCGCCATGTGTTTGCCCCACCCTTCACTTCTTCCAAATGTCTGTGGGACTTCATCTCCAATGAAGGAGAGCAGACTAGGGACAACTAGGGACAACCCTTGCTGTCCAGCATCCCCTCCCTCTGCCACCCAGCTTCCTCCAGAGCCCAGCCCAAGCCTCATGGCACAGATGAAAGGCTGAAGCCCGCAGAGACTGTGCTGACTCGGAACCCAAGGAAGCCCTGAGGGAGGTTTGAAGGCTGCCTCGTTGCCAGTCCTAGGATGCTGTGGAGAAGACCCTACCTACCCTTTTCCCCTGGGCTAAATCCAAGACTTACCTGAGCTGGGGGCGTCCAGGGAGCCATAGAAGAACTCCCATTTGGCTCGAGCAATTCTCTGCGCATGAGAGGAGACTTCCCGGGGGGAGGACCAGGTGTCCCCCTGAGTCAAAGAGGAAGTGAAAGGCACAGGACCCCAAAATGAAAGGCAGACATACAAGGACACAAGAATATGGAGTGGCAGAAAGAAACCCACATGGGACATGAAGGTGCAGGGACAGAGACAGAGGGCAAGAAGGCTGATTTAGGCCATTGAAGGATTTGGGAGAATGTGAGACAAGCCTCAGTCCAACAGGGTCTGAGCTTTGTCCCTTAACTGGGGCACTAGGGCCCCAGGGAGCCCAAGGCAGATTGCGTACCTGGGTTAGGAATCCAGTATCTGCAGGTCCTCGGAAGTGCATGGTCAGGTGCTCAGGGGTCCCCCCCAGCCCATTGGGGAGAGAGGAGTAAAGACCATCCGCCCCAATCTGGGATGGGACCAATGGCCCACGTGAGGGGTCCTGGCTGCCAGGAAGAGCAGAGCCTCCTCCAGCTGGGAGTGGGTCTGATGTGGATGCCTCTAGCCGCAACTTCCGGTTGCAGCCAGGTCCAAGGACTGGGGAGGGCCTGGGAGGAGAAACCCCACCCAGGTCCCAGCTCCGACTCAGGCCTCCGGAAGCAGGTAGGCCATTCAGCGGCCTCACACTGGCCTTCTCCACAAAACGGAAGATGACCACGGAACTCTGTGCCCCCGGTGGGGGCTGCCCAGTGGGTGAAGAGGGTCCCCAGCGTGAGGGAGCCATACGGGGTGACGGGGGGCCTCGCAGAGGGGTGCAAGGTGCTGTCACACGTCCCAGATCCCGGCCTCGAGGACCTGCTCCTGCCACTCTTCGTATTAGGGATCCTGTGCTGCCATACATGCTGGCTGGGGGGCTTTGGGGCACTGGGCCTTCGGGGAGCCATCGGCGAGGGCATCGTGGTGGGGAGATGGCACAGTCGCCTTCTGAACAGAAGCGCATGGCACCTTGGGCCATGCTGGGGCCGGGGGTCAGGCTGGTGGGGCAGGGATGGCCAGGCCACGCAGGGAGTGAGGGGGCTGCATGCTCTTCAGACAGGCCTGCAAGAGAGGAAGGGGAGCACGGGGGAGGCGTATGGGAGTTGAACAGGCCAGGCGGCATAGACAGAGAGGGGTAGGTGGGTTGGGCTTTCTAAGGTCCAGGGACCTAGCCAGGCCTGGAAATATGGGATCACCCATCCTAACCCTGAGGGCTCCTTCCATGGAAACCTTGGGGAAAAAGACTGTCCACCCAGTGGGCCTCCAGTTCCTCTCCTCTCTGGCAGCCCCGAGCAACACTTTAGGAAGAGCAAGCTAATCCAGAAGTTCCTTGAGTCCAGTTCTGGCGCAGTTGGGAACTCTTTCTTGTGGGGGCATGGCACCTCATCTTCTGGATCATAGGGCTCTGGATCCCTATAGTCCCGCTTATGGGGGCTCACTTAAGAAAAGAAAAACCAGCCTTCTTGGAAGGAGAGGGAGGAAAAAGAGGGGTTACCTAGGGACGGGCAAGTGTTGAAGACAGCGGAGAGGTGAGAGGGAAAGCGGCCCCTAACTTCAGTACATGCGAACACACATGCACCTGCACACATATGAACTCATACACACATGCAGAAGGACATGAGTATACAGTTACCACATTCATAGACAACACCCTCCAGTACACACAGACACACGCAGTGCTGCTCATAGACACACCCTCATACACTCAGTCATAACAAATATGTGTATAATGGGAAGAAAAGCACATGATTGTTTTACACACAGATCACCAAACAGGAACACACAAAGGGGTACCAAATACATAGACAGGCTCTCATCTGATGCACACAGAGACAGGTGTATCAGACAGAGGCCGCCTCGTCACAATCATAAACACAGATGCACATAATCAGAGACATAAATCCTCTCCTCCCCCCCACCAGGAACCAGGTCTGGGTATGGGGGGGCTGCACCACATTCCTCTCCCCCAGCTCCAGGGGTATGATGACATTTCTTGTCCAGTCCAGGAGGGGCCATAAAGGAAAACAGGGCCTCTGGTGGCAGAGCAGGGTAGGGAAAGCTGTCAGAAGCAGCAGCCCTGCCAGACAGGTTCTTGAAGCTCAACAGGGGCCTGGACCTCCCCTGCGCACCCCTCCTCCAAGGCACCCCAATACTCACCGCTGCTCGTTCGGAGCTGGAACGGAAGAGAAGCAGAGAGGCTGGGCCCCGCTCAGCTGTGAAAGCAGCACGGCTCCCGCTTGCTCCAGGCCCGCCCGCCTCCCAGTCCCTCCTCCACCCCTCCCCACGCTCTGCTCAAGCAACGCTAATCCCCCCCACACACCTCCCTCCTTCCCCAGGGCCCTGAGTCCCAAAGAGTGCCAACCCCCTAGCCACCACCTAAGACTCACGCCGGAGGAAGGCGAGACTGTAAGAACCCCCGGTTCTGTTCCCTAAACCCTCAGATGCCCCACCCCACTCGTGTTGAGTTCTCTCTCGTCCATCATCTCCTGAACCACACGTAGGGTCCAGCTGCACACGCCTGTCCTGATCCAGACCCCACGCGTGTCCCTCGGAGGCTGCCACATGACCTGTTACATGCCACACGCGCTCCCGCCCCCACAAGCACGCGCCCACGCAAACCACACTGTACGGGAGTAGACCGGACCCGCCCCCTGAAGCCAGGAGACCAACTACGGAAGGGACATCAAGGGAACGCAATCTTAAGCACTTCGGTATCCCCAACCTCAGACCCCAGAGTCCTGTCCTGACCACCCACCCGGAGTGCAGAGGAAGGATAAGTCAGACTCCAGGAAGAACTTCCTTGCTGCCTAGGTTACCGTCCCGCCTTTTCAGGAGCGAGAGTTTAGAAGGGATGACCCGAAGACGGGGAAGAGAAGCACAAGCAAACCTTGTGCCCTTGGCCAGGGTGGAAGAGGGTCTGGCTATTTTAGGAAAACGCCACACGAGTTACTATGGCAACTATTCTCCTTTGGAAGGCCAGGGCTGGCAGGTTATGACCTCGGGAGGAAGAGAGGGTCGGTTCGGGTGGTCAGAGGGTGCGGGGACGTTCGAGGCGGGGGGGTTCGCGGGGCTCACCGCGGGGAGGGGTGGCGCGGGTTCCGCGAGGTGCTGAAGGGGACAGCGCCAGATTTGTCGTAATGCGCAAGCGCAGAGGCGCGAACAAAGGGGCGGGGGAGGAGGCGCGCGGCCGGAGGTGGTGCGCGCCCACACGTATCTTTGCAGAGATCCTTCCAGGCTACCCCTTCCCCAAGCAGGCTGAGAAGGAGAGGAAGCAACCCCCTCACCCATCTTCACTCTCTTCTGCTCTTCCCGGTGCTGGCTGGCTTCTCCCTTCATGCTACATTGAGTAATGAGGTAGTGTGGAAGGGATTCTGGGAAAACCAGGATATCTGGGACCTTTATCCTTGCTGGTTAAGGAGCTTCCTCCCTAGAGCCTCCGTGTGCCCATCTTTAAAATGGACAGACCTGCCTACCTTTGCAAAGGTGCCCAAAGCCCTGGTGTGATAACGGATGAGAAGAAGCTTTCTTTATGAAGAAGTGACGGAAATGTTTGCACGGGGCACGCAACCATGTAGCATGCAGCGGCCCTACCTACGGTCGGTCACATGCTCCCACACCAACCGTGAATACTGGAGGAAATTATTACGCCAGGGGTTCTCCAGAGTGGGGCTTGGGATTAGTATCTCGGGGCACAGTGAAAGGGAAGCCTAATGACTGAGCTGCGAGCTTTGGGGCGTCACTCTCCCTACAATTAGCCCAGGGCTACCCAAGAAGCAGTAGGGCTAGTAGGCTGCGCTGGACCGCGGCAAAGAGCCCCGGCTAATCCTATATAGCTCTTCCTCCTTAGGCAAAAAGCTGGCCCGCGCTGTCCTGAAGCGGAAAGAGATGGATGTCATGAGCGTGCACTTCACAATTCACAAGGAAGAGCAGGTGTGAACAAGTTGGCTTGATAAGAAAAGCCTTAGCGTCGCCATTTAATCCATTCTTTGGGCAGTTACTTACTGAGCACCTACTACATGCCAGTTACTTAGAGCCTGGGCAGTCTCTCCCCCCTTTTTCTTTTTTCAAAGTCGCTTGAACGCGACCAGAGGGCAGGGGGAGGCACTCGGTAACCTAGGAGTCCTGGCTCCGCCCCTTCTGCCTTTGGCCTGGTCTGCTCCTCCCATCACCACTCAGAGGCGGCTACTGGCCCGCATCGAAGACCGAAAGCTCAGTCTCGGGCTTCAAGCCCTGTAGCGGGGAAGACATCTAATGGTACATCACTGCTCTGTTCTGCCTCAGTCTCGGGGGCCATCCGGAAAGCTTTCCGATAAGGCTTCTCAGTGAGCCCGCACTCGATTAAATCGGTCTGTCTCTTCAGACCAAGGAGGCGGGCTCGCCGCAGCCGCTTCAAGGCCGAGGCTAGAGGAGCTTACTGCGCACGCGCAGTAGCCAGCGATGGAGCCACCAATGGAGCAGTCCGGAGGGGAGCAAGAACCGGGAGCTGTCAGGTACCGAGCACTGCAGGGGCCGAGGGAGGGAAAAGCGCGGCGGGAGGGCAGCTGAGTCCTGGCCGGACCTGGACCCCTCTTGCCAGCCGGGACTCCGGGGTACGACAGACGGACACGCACGTAACAGCGTCCCGGGGACGTCAACGCCGCTTTACTCCCAGGCTCCTGGACCTGCCCTGGGAAGACGTGCTGCTCCCGCACGTCCTGACCTGGGTCCCGCTGCGCCAGCTGCTCCGGCTGCAGCGCGTCAGCCGCGCCTTCCGGGCGCTCGTGCAGCTGCACCTGGCGGGGCTGCGCCGCTTCGACGCCGCACAGGTGAGCCGGTGAGCCGGGGACTGGAACCGCGCCCCGCCCCCGCCCCCGCGGGGGCCCCACCCTCGCCCCGCCTCCAGTCCAGCCCCGCCTGCGCGGGAGACCCTTTCTGACCCCGGGTGCGACGTGGAGGACTCCGGAGGGCGAGCACTGGGCAGCGGCCCGGAGGGAGCATGGTGTCTCTCCTGGGAGGGCAGGCGGCAAGCCCCGAGGGGAGGCGGCTGCCAGGCAGCGTCCCGCCCCAGGGACAGACGGTCTCGGTACCTCCTGCCCGCAGGTGGGGCCACAGATTCCCCGGGCCGCGTTAGCCCGGCTACTGCGGGATGCCGAGGGACTGCAGGAGCTGGCGCTGGCTCCGTGTCACGAATGGCTGTCGGACGAGGACCTGGTACCAGTACTGGCACGGAATCCGCAGCTACGGAGCGTAGCGCTGGCCGGCTGCGGCCAGCTGAGTCGCCGAGCGCTGGGGGCGCTGACGGAGGGCTGCCCGCGTCTGCAGCGCCTCTCGCTCGCTCACTGTGACTGGGTGGACGGGCTGGCACTACGCGGCCTCGCCGACCGCTGCCCGGCTCTGGAGGAGCTAGACCTAACCGCCTGTCGCCAACTCAAGGACGAGGCCATCGTGTACCTGGCGCAGAGACGAGGCGCAGGCCTCCGCAGCCTCTCGTTGGCTGTCAACGCCAATGTGGGGGACACCGCGGTCCAAGAGTTGGCTCGAAACTGCCCGCAACTCGAACACCTCGACCTCACAGGCTGCCTCCGGGTCGGAAGCGATGGTGTCAGGTGCCTGGGCATGGGGTCGGTATGGTGGGAGGTGAAGGAATCCCTCTAGGGATGGGGGGGGGCAGGTTGTCAAAGACCCATCAGAAAGACCTCTGGGATTTTTTAGGCTAGAAAGCCTATGATTTAAAAGCAAAAAACAACTTCGGAGTCAAAATTGACACACAAAAATGTGACATAAAGTTGATCTGCAACAAAGGGTATCCCGAAACGCTGGGGACACCCAGAGCCAGAAGCCCCCAATGAGCTGGGGACCTGGGGTCTGTAATTCCATTCCGGCCCCCCCGGGTACTGTAGGAAAAACTCAGATCCTGAGCTAGAGGGAAACCTAGAATTTGCTGGAGCCGGCTGCAGCTTTAGTGGGCTGGCCCTGCAGACAGGAGAAAGCCTCCTGCACTTAGCTTCACCCTGCTCCTCCCCCAGGACACTGGCGGAGTACTGCCCGGCGCTGCGCTCGCTGAGGGTGAGGCACTGCCACCATGTGGCCGAACCCAGCCTGAGCCGCTTGCGGAAGCGTGGTGTGGACATCGACGTGGAGCCACCTCTGCACCAGGCCCTGGTGCTACTCCAGGACATGGCAGGCTTCGTACCCTTCGTCAACCTGCAGGTCTGACTGCATTTCCGGTGGGTGGGAGCACAGCTGGACTGTGTAGCCGGGCCCGACACTGAGCTGTGGGGAAATCGAACTGTGGGGGCTCGTGTGGTTGAAAGGCCTGGGGCGTGTCCTGCCCCACCCTGGAATTTCAAATAAAGAGCTTTTTACCCCTTCTTGCCTGGCGCATAGGGGACATGAAGCTGGGATCGGAAGGACAGACAGACACTGGAACTCTTCTTGCCCCAGTGGCAGAAACGACCAGAATGAACATTCGCCTTCCCTGGACCGCCTTTACTGTGTTCACGAAGGCAGCTCCAAAAATAGATTAACTAGAGCAAGGACATAGACGGACAGAGGGGTGGACAGGGGTGGTTTGTGCACCCCTCTAGGATCTGGAAGGCTCAGCAGAGTCCAGCCCGGGGCCTCAGTGGAAGCGGTACTTTCTGGCTGGCTTGAGGTTGATGTATGTGGCCTTCATCTCCTCAGCCTCGGGGTTCCGGATGTCTTTGAATCGCTCCCCTTTGGTGCTCACAACTTGGTTATCGATGTATCGGATCAGCTTCTTAGGGGCCTGTCAGGCAATTAGGAAATGAATGACTGAAATCGGAGTCAGTACCCCTCACTCCACACCCTCAATGCTCGCAACCCTCTTACCTCCTTGGGAGCCATGGGTCGGTGAACCTTCTGGTCCTCCGCACTGTCCACCATCATGTACCTGCCAAGAGTGGCTGCATGGGGCGCCTGCCACCGGGGAAGCCCCGCAGGGTCCAGCCCAGCCCAGACTTACTTCTGAAGGATGAAGGACTTCAGTTCATCCTTTTGGGGGCCTCTGAGGCGCCTGGGCAAGTCCTGCAGACATGGGAACAGATGAGGACAGGGGGTGGGTCTTAACAAGAAGGTATAAGGGAGCCGAGGTTCCTGGGCGGGGCTGAAGAGGGCGAGGTTCCTGGGCAGGGCTGAAGAGGGCGGGTACCTGATGCGGGTCATCCCAGCCTGCAGGCCCCTCTTCCTTGCTTTCCACCAGCATCTGCACTGCTTCTTCCAAGTCCCCCCGAGCTTTGGCCAACGCCCCCTGGGCCTGCTCCACAGAGCAGGTGGGGAATACCTCCAAGAGCACATCGACTCCCTGCAGAAGCTGTTCCTCAGCACCAGCTGCCTGTGGGCACAGAGGTTCACCATGGGCTACACGCCTTCCTTTCCTGTCCCAAGGTCCTTCATGGGTACCCTTCTCCCAGTACCTCATCCTGGGTGTTCCCAGAGGCAGCCGGAGACCTGGTCTCTTCTTTGAGCTTTTGAGATTGCCTCAGGGTCTCTGGAAAAATGGGCACCTGACCTTGGACACAGGAACTCTGTGGGTGCAGGTTTTCTTCAAGAGGCAGAGAGGGCATCGGATTTGCCAGGGCTTGGGGTGGGTGCGAATCCTCCAAATGCCAGACCCCCAAACTCACCTTTGTTCCTAGCGTCACTCAGCTGCACTGACAGCTTCTGCATCATGTCCCCTATCATGCCCCTGAAAGGCAAGGGAGGTAGTGAGGGGACCACTCTACCCCAACCCCAGCCAGCCAGCTAACCCCCACTGCCTTTTCGCCCCAGCCAGGCCCTACCTGGGGATGTGGCCAAAGCCAGGCACGTAAGCCTCCATCATCTCTGTGAAGGCATCCATATCAAAGTTCTCCTCTGAAGGGCCTGAGGGGCCCAGGTCCTCTAGGACCCCAAGTACATAGGAGAAGATGACCTCATCCAAGCCGCTGTAGGAAGGAACAAGTGCATTCACTAGGACCCTGATTTCCAGCATCCCCGCCAGACTCCATCCAGTCCTCCATTTCATGGTGCCCGGGTCAGCTTGGTCCTTGAGACCAGAGTATCTCTCCCATCTCCTTGGCTTTGGTTTTCAATCAGTCCAGTACAGGTGATAGACACAGTATGAAAGAGAAGGCCATCTATACAAATAAAAACCAGCTCTCCCCAGGAGGGAGAAATGGCTCAGTAGTTAGAGCACTTGCTGCTCTTTACAGGACCCAAGTTCAATTCCCAGAACTCACATGAAATAGCTCACAGATGCCTGTACTTCCAGCTCCCTGGTATGTGACAGCCTCTTTTGGCCTCATGGGCAGCTGCATGTTCATGCACACACACACACACACACACACACACACACACACACACACACACACAATCTTGGAAGCAAAAGTTGGGGTTAGAGAGATGGCTTAGTAGCTAAGAGTACTTGCTATTCTTTTTGTTTTTCAAGACAGTGTGTCTTTGTGTATCCATGACTGTCCTGGAACTCACTCTGTAGACCAGGCTGGTCTTGAACTCAGAGATCCACCTGCCTTTGCCTCCCTAATGCTGGGATTAAAGGAGAGCGCTGCTACCACCCAGGGAGTGTTTACTATTCTAGCAGATGACGATTCTACTCTCACCTGGAAAAGGATTAAATACTTTGTAACCACCTTTTCGCGGGCCAGTGCCCGGAGTTGTAGTCGGCAACACCCCCTCTGAACTTGGCCTGCCCCTTCAGAAGGAACAGCCTTACCTGAGGTCCGCCTCTGGGAGGTGTGTCTGGACAAAGCCAAGGAGGGCTGAGCTGACGATCCTCTCCAGCTCCATGCTGGCTCTTCTAAAGGTACACGAGACAGGATTGTCAGGTCTCTGGCCTGCTTCCCCTCACTGGGCCAAGGGAAAGCAACCCCTCCTCTCTCTCCCTTCTGAGGTTGAATCAGCTGTTGATGCTGCCCTCCCAGCTCCTGGCAAGCAGGGTCACTCCCTTGGTCACCCACTCCTACCTCCTCCAGTCCCAGACAGGGTACAGCACTATCTCTAAAAGGCTTCCAAAGGGACTTGTGCCCCTTCCCCCATCCCCCGTGGCAAGAAGGGTCACATGCTTCCTGGCTGAGGAATCTCATCACTGAGGGGCTATTTGGCCCCCAGCTCCAATCACAAGGGGCCCAATTGTCTAGCCACATAAGGAAGGAGGTCTCAGGACCAAGTACAGCCCTTCCCCCACCCATGATAGGCCACCCACCCTTTATACAAAAGAACTTTTTTTTTCTGGTTCGGCAGTCTATACAGAGGGGAAGTCCTACATGGCTTCTGTCCTCCGGTCCAATCTCTGCCTTTCCAGCAGTCTGGACCACAGGAGACCTTTGTCATCCTTCAGCCTACAGAGCACCACAGTCTGGCCCTTGTCCACTTCTCTCTGTCCCTCCCTCCTCTCTAGCTCCACCCCACTGCCCTTGCTGTGCCTGGAACCTGCTGGCTGTCTTACTCTTTGGTGGGTCCCAGTGCCTAGGAAAATGTCTGCATTCAGTAAGTGCTAGGCAAATACTTTCTGGCTTAATTCATCTACATGCCTTTTAAAAAGATTATTTTTATTTCTGTGCATGAGTGTCTGCCTGCATGTATGTATGTATGAGCACAAAGGTGCATGTCTGGTTCTCATGGAGGTCAGAAGGGGGCGCCAGATCCACTAAAACTGGAGTTTCAAAGGTTATAAGCCACCATCTGGGTGCTGGGAACTGAACATGTGTCCTTTGCAAAGGCAGCAAGTGCTCTTTACTGTCAAGCCAGATCTTCAGCCCCCATCTTCATGCTTTTGACTCCCTCAAACTGTCTGGAGTCAGGAAGGCACAGATGGTAAGAATGGCTCAAGACTCGGAGAACCAAATGTCAGTCAACCCTCTCATTTGGAAGGCTCCAGAGAGATCTCAGAACCCAGCAACCCCGCTCACATCCCCCTGCAAACACATACCACTCCTTGAGCTACTAAATCTGAAACTTGATTTCGCCCTCTCTCAACCTTCCCTGGAATCAGTCAAACCAAGTCCTACTGAATAAGACATATTTTCCCTCCTGTTAACATCTCCCTCCAGTATAGCCTGTCCAATGTCTCTAATAGCTAAGTCTTCTCCAGCTAAGGTTAAGCTTAATTTTTCAGGCTAAGGTTACCAGTTGCTTTTTAGGTTTTGGTCTACTGAGGTTGGACCACATAACTCCCCAGTTCCGTTTAGAATACTTTATGTATAGTTTTGCGTCACCGCCTTTGTGTCCCGAGTTCACAGCCGCCGGTGCCCTCCCCTGGTGCCCTGTGCATGCAGGTATTTCTTCCCTGGCCGCACCACCATTTCCTTCTCTACTGCCCTCTGACTCCAGGCCACTGCTCTCCTTGCCTGTCACTTTCTCTCTGCAGTGACTCATCTGGCCCATCCTTGTGCCCCACAACTGGATGTCCCCCAGTTCTCAAATGCTCAGTTCTCTGGTTCAGCCTCTGAACAGCCAACTGGTCCCTCTACCTCACTGACACGCCATAGGAACGCTGGGATTAAAGGCGTGCACCACCACCGCCCGGCACCATAGGAACTCTTGCAGCCATCTCTCACCTCACATGGCCCAGAGCGATGCCCTTTCAAGTATTTCATCCTCCAGGACCATCCTCCCTAAATGAATATCCAGACACAGCTATTCCAGCTACCAGTCTAGGAATTAACCATGACCCCCCCATATACCCCTTGCTTTGCATCAGCCAAGTAGTTACTAAATCCTGATTATTCTTTAACACACCTACTTTTTGTGTGTGGTGTGGGTGCGTGGATATCTTGCTACTTCAGTGTGTGTATGGAGCCAGAGGCTGACATCAGGCTGTCTGCTCTGATCACTTCTTTACATTCTTTGTTTTACAGTGTCTCTATAGTCCTGTGTCCTGGAACACTCTATGCAGACCAGAATGGTCTTAAACTCACAGAGATCCTCCTGCCTCTGCCTCCCAAGTGCTGGGATTAAAGGTGTGTTCTTTGTTTTTTGGCCAGCCAACTTGACTGTTGATAGTGGCCTGGGAACCATTGTAGGGAGAAAGACAGACACTTGGCTGCTCTATGAAAGCCCAGGTTCCAGGGAGTTTTCTTGGGGGATATATGTGATGCCTCTGGGCTTCTAACCAAGGCATAGGGGCTACAAAGTTGTTTCTGGGAAATTCCTCGCTGTCTTCAAAGGGAAAGCCTTCCCTTCCTCCTTTGAGGTTCTGTGGCTAGCTGTTCTGCCAAGGGGACCATCATCTCTCCTCCTGTCTTTGGACTGAACAGACATGGTCCAGACGTCAGAGCTTGCCACCTCTCTTCCCACCCTTCTCTCTACGCCCAGCTTTCCCTGACACGTCCTTCCTGCTTGGGAGCACCTCCTAATATTCTCTCCCATAGTTCCTGAGCTGGGGACGACCTGACCTGAGCTACTAAACTGGCTCCCTAAGTCAACCTGAGTGTCATCCTATGATTTCCATAAGACGCTTCAAATTCCAGATACAGCCCACGGAACCCAACTAGATCAGAGATCGCTGTCTGGTGGTACCTATGAAATGTGACAATCATTTGCCATGAGTCCTGCTAAAACACCTCTGATGGGAGCTGGAGATGGATCAGCAGTTAAGAGCACCGGTGGTTTGATTCCCAGCACTCACATAGCTCACAACTGTCCACAACTCCAGCCTCTAGGGATACAACACCCTTTCCACCTCCAAGGGTACCAGGCATGCACATGGTACATAGGCATACATGCAAGCAAAATTGTAATATATGAAATTAAATAAATCTAAAAACATGAAAACACCCTTCTAATGATGGTTAAAAACAGTGTCTACTGACTGCAATATAAAGCATTAATTTCCTAACCCTCATAACAGCTGAAATGTGGATAATACTATGGTGCCCATCACCTGAAAGTAAATGAAAGCACTAGATGTGAGAAACTTTCCCAAGGTCACAGGGTAGATTAACAGCAGAGTCACACACAGGCGGCCTCGAAACGTCCCCTCTCATGATGCCGATGGTGTGGCCTGTTCTAGAGGCCTCTCCTGCCTCGCCACAGTCTTACCTACACCAGAATCTCTGCTTGCCCCTCCCCTGCTCAAGACATCTTCCTTTTCCTCTGCAAACACCGTTCTGCAGGGCTCACTTGCCCTGTACAGCTAGCGCCTCGCCGCCCTGAACGGCTTGAGAGACTCCCAAAGGCCTGCACCTCCAGACACTATCAGAGGCTGCAGGGCTAGCCGGATACTCTGGGGAAGTCGGATGAGGTAGGGAGTGTTTGCTACTCCCCTGGAGAGAACAGGCACTGAGTGGGCATCGAAGCAGGCCATGTGCACGCAGAATCCCTGGGAAGCCACGTCTCAGGAAAGGAGCCCTGGGGAGCTGAGGAGCAGCAGGGGGTCTAGCCCAAGGGTCCTCTCTACTTCTCCAGGCCCTCCTAAAGTCATGATGCAGCATACTGCAGGCCCGGCGCCAAGGGCACTGTGGGAACAAGGGATCTCACCATCTAAGGTCAGGCAGGTGCGCAGGTAAGCACGCAGCAAGAGGGATCTCAGATGGCCGACCCTTGAGGCAAGAGCTTTTTATAGCCGTTAGCAGAGCAACATAAGCGTCCAGAATAGGGGGCCTGAGGACACAGGGATGCAGTAGCCGCCTGGGGGGGGGGGGGGGGAGGTGAGTCACATGACGAGATAGGCCTCAACAAGCTAGATGTTCCTCGGTACAGGCCACACGAGACAATTAGAGAAAGGGGTCCGGCCGACCCCCCCTCCCGGGGGTTCCATAAGGGAACGCTAGGAGGGGTGCCCTGTGTCAATGCTCTCCGCGACTCTCTTAGCCCTAGACCCGGGGCTGGAGGGGAAATCACCTGCTCCGTCAGGCGCCGCCGCCGACTTGTCCCACGCGATGCGGTTCTTATCCCCTAGCCCCACCAACGAGATGAAAGGCGGGGCCCAGAGCTGTTCTCTTTGGAGGACGCCGCGGTGGCCATTTTTGAAACGGCAATTTGCCCATACCAGGGCGGGGCTTTATTTCCCCATTCTCAAATGTCTCAGCGTTTTGGACCCGCTTCCCCGGCGGCCATTTTTGTTTTGGGTAGAGAGGCGCGACTGACTTGTTCTCTTTTGTCCGCTAGAGGTCCCGAACCCCTCGGTATTTATTTCTGAAAGAATGCAGAATTTCCCTGTCTGCCTTATTTCCTGGCCCCCAAGGACCCTCCCCTGGGAATTCTATAGATCTCCCTTTCCTCTTCCTAGCCTCTCCTGCCCTCCTTCAATCTCTGCGGCTCCCCCACTGGGGATGTGGTGTCTTCCATTGCAAATTCCATATCTCCCCCTTCATGTTCCGTCTGGCTTCAAGCCCTGTCTCTCAGCCAGCTCTAGGGCCTGGATCCCAGGACCTTATGTGTCTCTCCCCTTTGTCCCTTATTGATGTCTTCCCAAGAGTAAGGTGGATTACAGGGTCTTCGGAAAGTGATGAACATTAAATGCGTGGAGTGAGGATAGACCCGAACCCAGATCCAAGATGGCTTGCAGACCTCCTCCACACCCAGAACCCTCTTGCCTGCATTGGCAGGGCTAATAATCTAGAAGAGACAGGACAGCTACACACCAGGACCTAGTAAGTAAGGCCTCAGCTTCCCCTTTCTGTTCGGGCTACCTCAGCTTCCCTACTGCCGAGGGAAGCCCTCAAGCATGCCTTCGTTTGAACTCAAAATGGGTGCCAAGAATTCCCTTCAGTGGTCGCCTTCCCATCCCAATCCGCAAGGAGGGGCCCCCCCTTCAGCCCCAGGAGGGTGCCAGGGACCCAGGAGCTGTCGCTAGCCTCTAGAAACTCCGTCCCAGAGAGAAAGCCCCAACCTATCCCCTAGAGACTGGAGCAGTGCCAAGATCTGAGAGATTTCTGCCCTCCCCTCCTTCCTTCCCCTGTGTCCCTCACCGCGGGCTCCCTGCCCCTCGGGTGGGTGGCTGCTGGGAAGGGGGAAGGAAAGAGAGAGAAACCAGCTTGGCTTCTCCTATAAAAGCACTACTGCTGCCAGGCTGGCGCCACCAGGGTTAATAAGAGGAGGGGTGACAGTCACTTTGAACGCTAGCCAAGCAGGCCTCCAGAAAGGGACCGGTGGTCTCCCCCACTAGCCCCAGGCCCTGCCAGCCCTCCCTTTTGGGGGCCCTTTCCACCTCCCCTTCACCCATTGCACAACACTGATGACTTCATCCCTCCCCGCCCCCATTCCCGGAATTTAGAGGTCTCCACAGCAGGCCTGCCTAGAGTCCTGACCCAAGACCCCTGCAGCCCCCGAGGTGGTGCCTGCTCCTCCCGACTCCCGTGCTTGATTGGCTATTGGGTGTAACCAGACACCGGAAAGACCATCCTGAATTCTCAGGGAGAGTGACGCCGAAGGTTTCTAGGGGGAGCCCCTCTATTCCTAACTCAGACTCTGGGGAGACTGCGTCAGGTTCTGGGGCCCCAGGACGGAAGGCTGGGGAGGAGAGAAGTGACTACCACAGACAGAAAGTCAGGTGGTGTTTCCATGAATCTCTACAACAGCGGCTCTCAGCCTTCCTATGCTGTGACCCTTTAATACAGTTCCTCATGCTGTGGTGACCCCCAGCCATAAAGTTATTTTCTCTGCTATTTCATAACTGTGATTTTGAAACTGTTATGAATTGCAATGTAAATATCTGTGTTTTCCAATGCTCTTAGGTGACCCCTGTCATTTGAAAGGAGGGTCATTTGACCCTCAAAGGGGTCATGACCCACAGGTTGAGAACTGCTGCTAGAGATTTGCTAGATTTGCTAGAGATTCCACAGCTAACCCGACCTTGCCCGTTGTTCCTGGTTTTATGTCCCCTAAGTTCTTTTTTTTGTTTTTGTTTTTGTTTTTCGAGACAGGGTTTCTCTGTGGCTTTGGAGGCTGTCCTGGAACTAGCTCTTGTAGACCAGGCTGGCCTCGAACTCACAGAGATCCGCCTGCCTCTGCCTCTCAAGTGCTGGGATTAAAGGCGTGCGCCACCAACGCTCGGTGTCCCCTAAGTTCTTACTTTTCCCTCCCGCAAGATGGGAGCCAACTCCCCTGCGTGCTGCTTGAAGCCCCTGGCACAGGGGTGGGGAGGCCAACTGTCGCTCCTTTCTGTTCCCTTGGGTGTTGTATATGGGCTGCAGGGTCTCCTCAGTTGACAGAAAAGACTAGGAGACTATGCTGTATGCTATGCTCGAAATTGCCCAGCCTATGCCTCAGAAGTGGGAATTAGGTTTGAGTTCAGCATCAGGGCCAGGGTTCCTGGCATCAAGAACAGCAAAAGAACCAAAGGGCTGGTCTCCTGGAGTGGGAGGAGCCCTCGGGCACTGAAATAAGGAAGAGGACACTGGGAAGAATGGGTTGGAGCAGGGTTGTCCCCGCTCTGGCTTGAGGTCAGAAAGGGCTCTGGGCAGCAAACAGCCTGGTCCTCCCACACAGCCCTCCTTTCTCAGAAGAGCATGCATGGGTGGGTGGGGATCTGGGCAGGGCGAGGGCCTATTTAAGGAGCGCCACACAGTTGGCTGTTGCAGATCCAGCCCCGTGGATACCAGAGAAGAGGCTCTGTGGGTAAGTGCTGCTGCTTTCCCAGGGTTCAGCAGGGCTGTGGGGAGGGTGAGTCCTGAGTCTGCTGGTTGGCTTTCCCTCTCCAGGGACGTGTGAGGCTAGCGCCCAGCTGTCATTTAACAATCCAGAAATTGGAAGTGCATTTCAGGGAAGCCTTCCTCCTCCACTCAGCTATCCTAAACACTCAAGACCTTCATTCAAGTGGCCGATTTTCTAGAGCTAATACTCCTGAATGGCTGTCTTGAAGATCCCCCTCAGGGGAGAAAACGCCTCCAACTACAGACACATGCCCCTGTCAGGCGCCAATTTTGGCTTTTCCCTGACTTTCACCCTCTAGCCCACCAAGAACACATCTGGACAGCAATAAAAGAACCCACAGCCAATACCCATCCCTGCCATACCCTGAGCCTCTCCCGTCCAGTTCTTGTCCACTTCTCTAGCTGTGGGATCCCATTTTCAGCTCCAAGCTTAGCGCCCCACTGAAAGGGTAGGAAGTATTCTGAGATCCCAAGCTACATCCTGAATCTCAATTTGTCTATGTTGGGATTGGGGGAAAACTTACAGAAGGGGACCAATGAAATGGCTCAAGGTACTTACCACAAAACCTGGTGTCCCTGAAACCCATAGGGTGGAATGCACACACACACACACGCACGCACGCACGCACGCACACGCACACACGCATGCGCAATAAATGTAAAAACATTTCACAGAAGAGAGCTGTGGACGGCGGCATCCCAGCTGAGAGAACATTGGCCACCTGGCTCTGAGAACTGAATTCCATAGGCTGTGAGCTCTGGCAAATGCCCTAGGGACTCAGTTCTGGTGCCCGGCTGTGCTAATCCGTCAGTACCAAAGCTATAGGGTACTCACTGACAGCTGCCTAGAAGATGCTCCTGAAGGCTCCTTGGCCAGACCCTTTCATAACACCGGCCTGGGGTACTCTTCTGCTCAAAGACTTCAGAGGCTTCCCAACCGAATCTACCCTCCCCTCCCCCTCCTCTCTGAGATAGGGTCCCCTATAGCTCAGGATACCCACATAGCCAAGGATAACCGTGAACTCCTAACCTTCCTGCCTCCACCTCCCAAGTGTTTACAGACATGCTCCACTCTATCTGGCCCGTGTCTGTGCGGTCAGTCCTCCAGGATGACGACGTCCACTTAGCTCTCGGCACCCATCTCCACGGCTGTCTCGTGGACCGGCCCTGCTGCTCCCTCCTGTTGCTCCCATGCTTTCTCTACGGCTGTCTCCCGCTCAGCTCTTGGGTCCCCACTTCCCTGTCACTGTCTATCAGAGTCTGTTTGTCCTCTGAGGCCTCTTTCATCCTCCCAGTGGGGGTAGATTCATAAACCCTACCCGTTAGTATCTAACCCAGTGTTTTGCACGTCGTAGTTCCCTCAATAAACATCCTTTCACTTTTTTGCATGTGTCTCATGTATGGAAAGGAAGCTTGACTTAGAGATTAAAGTCAATCAAATTACCTTCTCATTTTTTTTATTTTTTTTATTTTCGAGACACGGTTTCTCTGTGTATCTTTGCCTGCCCTGGAACTTACTCTGTAGACCAGGCTGGCTTCAAACTCACTGAGCTCCACCTACTTCTGCCTCTCAAGTGCCAGGATTAAAGGTATGCACCACCACTGCCTGGCTACAGTCTCATTTTGTAACCTATATAGAACTGAATCCGTTTCTTTGCATATAATTGGAAATAATAATGATATTCACATCAAAGATCTGTGAGCATAAACTTTAGTGAGTGGATAGATGTCTGCACAGGGCTTTAGCATAAACTTTAGTGAGTGGGTAGATGTCTGCACAGGGTTTTAGCATAAACTTTAGTGAGTGGATAGATGTCTGCACAGGGCTTTAGCATAAACTTTAGTGAGTGGGTAGATGTCTGCACAGGGTTAGCATGGCACCTGGCAGAGCAAGCCCTCAGAAGGGTGGGAGACTATGGTTCCTATTTTTTGGTTTTTACGAGACAGGGTTTCCCTGTATTGTTTTGGAGGCTGTTGGTCCAGCCCAGCCTCGAACTCACAGAGATCTGCCTGCCTCTGCCTCCCGAGTGCTGGGATTAAAGGCATGCGCCACTACCGCCTGGCTTTGGTTTTCTTTTGTTTTGAGGAGAAGGCCTTTATTTTTTCCCTCCAGCTACCTCCTCTCTCTTTCTGTGCTGTGACCCCCATGACAATACTGTTATTTTGTAGTCATGGCTGACAACATTGTATCAATAACTGAAACTACACCAATTGTGGGCCCCCTGACCAGGGAAACCCAAGAGCTATGTATGAGACTGTGCTCAGAGCTGTTTCAGAGGTGGAAGTCCATGACAAACAAAAGGATGTCATCCTTAATTGTAAAGTGCTTTGTAAAATTCACATTTACAGAATAATAAAGTCAATTCAAACCCAGAAAAAATTATTTATTATGGCCAGGTGTTGGTGGCGCACACCTTTAATCCCAGCACTCGGGAGGCAGAGACAGGCAGATCTCTGTGAGTTAAAGGACAGCCTGGTTTACAGAGTGAGTTCCAGCACAGCCTCCAAAACAATACAGAGAAACCCTGTCTCAAAAAACAAAAACAAAAAATTATGTATAGTGTTCTGTCTGCATGTCTGCCTGCGTGCCAGAAGAGGGCACCAGATCTCATTACAGATGGTTGTGAGCCACCATGTGGTTGCTGGGAATTGAACTCAGGACGTCTGGAAGAGCAGTTAGTGCTCTTGACCACTGAGCGATTTCTCCAGCCCCTCAATTTTTTTTTTTTAGGTAGAATGGGCATTATTCAACGGTAAGGGCAGTTGCCAAATGAAGTGGGGCTTGAAATTTACCCGTCATGCTTTGCTTCGAGATGGCTCCACACGTGATCCCTGGGTTGCGTGGTGCCAGGGCAAGGTCAGGAGAGCGCAGCTGCGAGGATCAGGGCTCGTTTGCTCAGGTCTTCCAGGAGCTGGGAGCTCTGTATTTCCCCCTACCATGTGACTTTGCATGAACATCCTCTTGTTATCCCCGGTCCTGACAGTATATAAACTGAGGCAGGGAGCCTTGAAGAGCAAGTGAGCCCTCAGGTCTCGGGCAGTCTGGGTGTTTTATGAGTCCTGTTCTTTAAAAACTCAGTTCAAAGAGATCATGCAAGGAAGCATTCAGCTCTGCAGGGCTGGGAGTGGAGCATGGTGGTGCTGGGCTCTGCGGAGGGTGGGGTACGGGGGTATGGGGACGACAACGTCTATCTCCAAAACCCTGTAGCAGGGCTTTTCTTCCTTCTGTATGCTGGGGAGAGGGTGGGGAAAACTGTGAAGGAGCAATTACAGGGTGGAAGCTACAGGGAGGCAGAGCATCGGCAAGGGGGCTTGGGGGCTCGGTTGGGAGGGGAGTGTTGTTTGAAAAACTTCGTGTTTGGACCCAAGAAGAGGGAAAAGGAGCAGAATACAGACAGCAAGTTGTGTTGCTGCGGGGCTCACTATGTATTGGTAAATTTCATTTGTTTCAAAGCATGGCTTGTGGTTTGAGCCAGCTGTGGTGACACAAGCCTCTAATCCAGTATTCAGAAGCTAGATCTCTGTGAGTTCGAGGCCAGCCTGGTCTACAAAGTGAGTTCCAGGACAGCTAGGGGCTGTTATACAAAGAAACCCTGTCTCGAAAAACAAAAACAAAAAGGAGAAAAGAATGACATTCCTCTGAACATCTAGGTAGGGCTAATTTTATGCGTTTTACAGATGTGACAGTTGGTTGAGGGGCTCAGAGAGGCGACACATGGCTAGGAAAATGTCAGAACCAGGTGACATTTCCCAGTTACTCCCACACTCCAAAACCACCCTAGGTCTTCAGACGGTCTGGATAGTGAGTCCTGGCAGACAAGTCTAGTAAGACTGCAGACTGCACACTGCGGGGGTGCTGCTGAAGTGCTCGCTCACTCACTTCCCTTTCCAAGCTGGGGACTGCTGTGGCTCCCTCCCCCCCGTTTCTCCGAGAGGGGTACTGTGGTGCAAGGGAGAGGAAGGCAAGTGGGGACCACAGCTGGCTAAGGAGGGACAGCAGAAGCAGCCAGGTGCTGCTTTCACCGCAAGACCCTCTGGACAGTAACCCCCTTCTCTCCTTTCCCGCACGCACCGTCTAGCAATAACTCTAGAGAAACCATGGTGCCGGGACGGAAGAGGGAAGGCCGGCAGAGACGCAGGCGCGGTGAGGAGCTCAGCGCAGACCTTGCTTTTTCTTAGGGCGACCTCGCTGCACCGCCTCCGGAGCCTCCCGGCTGTCCCCGCTGTTCCCGTCCTCACCGCGGGCCGGCGGGCGCACTACGCGCCGCGCCACCCGGTATTCGGGCTCGCCCACGCGCGGCGCGGCCCGCACCAGGAACTGGCCGCCGCGCTGGGTGACGCGCACGTCGGTGCGCGGGTAGGTGCCGTACACGCGCCGCAGCTCGCGGCGCACGGCGTCTGGCAGCGGCAGGGGCGGTCCCCGCGTTCGCTCCACGCGTCCCCAGCGCAGCTGCAGCTCCAGGCTGCTGTCCTCGGGCCACTGTGCCCAGCGTTCGGCGTCGGGCGCGGGCTGGGATGGTGCGGGCGCGCCGGCCGCGGCGAACGACGAGGAGCCAAGGGTCGCGGCACCCGGCGGCCGGAAGGACCACCAGGGCGGCGTGGAGGCCAGGGCCGCGCCCGCACCGTGGAAGAAGTGGAATTCACGCGGGGCCTCTCTCAGCTCGGCTGGCCGGCTGCAGAAGTTGTGGGTCTGGATGGGTGGCAGCAGCAGAGGGGCGGGCAGGTAGGTGTAGGTGAGGGTCTGCAGCCGAGGCCACATGCCCTCCCCTGGTGGCAGGCAGACGTAGGAGTACATGGCCTGAACCTCAGGCGGCGAGCATTTTTACTGGATCCAGACCTGTGGTGGATAGGTGGATAGATACTTAATTCTTAACCACCACACGTCGCTGCGCCCCTGGCTCTGGTTCATGGCCTGGGTCTTGCATGACTGTCTGATGGCTTTGAGAAAACTTTCCTGAGTCAGGCTCAGCTCCCCACCTCCTCATGTGTTATTCCAGGGCTGGGCATAGGTCTGTTAATAGAGCACTTTACGTGCACAAAGCTGTGGCGATATCTTGCTTGTACAAATAAAGCCTGTCTGGGGGTTAGAGAATGGATATCACCACACAAAGCCCAGGGTTGGATCCCACCACACACGTAAACCCGGTGTGGCGGATCCTGCCTGTAATCCCGGGACTCCTGGAATAGACTCAGGAATACCAGGAATTCAGGGTCATAGTGTTTGAGAGCAGCCTGGGCTACGGGAGACCCCCTGTCAAAACAAACAACCCCTCTGGTATCCAGGCTTGCCGAGTCCTCAGCCCCTGCTATGCTTTTCCCTTTAACTGTCCATTCACTTGCCTCTTTCAGCCTGGTGGGATGATTCTCCAGAACAGTTCAGAACGGGCTTCTTTCCGCCGCTTCTCGTTGTGTTTTCCTTTCCATGCCTGCCGCAGCCACACCTCCCTGTTACTAGGCAAAGAGAAACACCTTTAGCTGGCTAGGAGCCAGCCAGTCTGTAGGCCGAGTAGAAACCAGGGCCTAGTGACCCCAAGCTAGCAGCAAGGGCCTCAGCTCACAGACACACTCCTCAGCACCCCCTCCCTCTTCCTTTTATTTCATGTGCGCTGATGTGTGGCATCAGATCCCCTGGAACTGGAGTTACAGACGGCTGTGAGCTGCCATGTGGGTGCTGGGGATTGAATCCGGGTCCTCCGGGAGAGCAGTCAGTGCTCTTAACCACTGAGCCCTCTCTCCAGTCCCCACTTCCTGTAGGGGCTAAGAGACCTGCTCCAGCCCCTATCCAGGTTCCAAAGGTGAAATGCTTCTCAGGAGCGAAGGAGGCGGTAAAATTTTTCTATAGTAACTTCTCACACAATCTGAGGGTCATGCTCTTTATTTCCTATGCTCTTTACTGTTCTGTTTCTACCATAATAATCCTGTCCTACTTCTAGCTTCTCCATGCTTCTTCTAGCTTCTGTTCTAAAAACTCTTCTCCTTCAGGACCCTTGAAGTGATAAAGAAGTTTCTCTCATTGGTCAACAGCACATACCTAGAGGAAACAATAAGGAGCTGAGCTGTTTGCCATGACAACACAAGGGTCCAAGGCCACAGGAGCAAACCAGGACCAGACAGGGAGGGCGGCAGTGCACCGTGCTCCTGTCTCATATAACTTTCCAGTGCTGGGATTAAAGGCATGGGATCCCAAGTGCTGAGATCACCTTTGTGTGAGCTGTTTCTCTTTTTAGACTGATTCATTCTCATATAGGCCACGGTGACTTTTCTGTCTCCTGAGTACTGGAATTAAAGGCGTGTGCCACCACCACCGCCACCGCCACCGCCACCACCCCCCAGCTTCTATGGCTAACTAGTATGGCTGCTGGGATTAAAGGTATTAACCACTACTGCCTGGCCTCTATGGCTGTGATTAGCTTTGCGTTCTGATCTCCAGGCAAGCTTTATTCAACCTTAAACAGTATATCACCACAGCAGCACATTAGAAACAGATGAACCATTAGAACGGTGTGTTGAACTTTACAAACATACCTTGGTGCAAGCGTGTACTGGACTCTGACACTAGCTGAAGATAAAGTGTGTGGGGTGGGGGTGCTGCTGGAGAATTGGTTCAGTGGTTTAAAAAACATTTGTTCTTGTAGAGGACCCAAGTTCAACGTCTAGCACCAACAACATGGTGGCTCACAACTGTCTGTAAATGCAGTCCCAGATCTGACACCCATTTTGTCTTCTATGGGCATTAGGCATGAATATAGTACACAAACATACATGCAAGCAAAACATACATACAATAATAAATGGAAAAAATTATTTTTAAAGACAGAGCTGGGCATGGTGGCACACGCCTTTAACCCCAGCACTCTGGAGGCAGAGGCAGACAGGTCTCTTGAGTTCAAGACCAACCAAGTCTACAGAGGAAGTTCCAGGACAGCTAGGGCTACACAGAGAAACCCTGTCTCAAAGAAAAAAGGGGGGTGATATAAAGCAGGGACTGTTGTAGAATATTATTTTAAGGTGTGTTACATTTCTTTATGCTCTGGGATATTTGCTTAATGATGTAAAGATGTGTTGCTTTTGTTTATACTGTATTTAACTCTGTGAAGCTGTGATTCTTTGTCTAAAACCCCTGATGGTCTAACAAAGATCTTAACGGTCAATAGGAAGGCAGGAGAAAGGATAGGCAGGGTTGGCAGGCAGAGAGAATAAATTGAAGGAGAAAGGAGGAGGAGAACAAAGGAGCAGAGGAAGGAGAAAGACAACAAGGAGAGGAGGATGCTAGGGGCCAGCTGCCCAGACACCGAGACACCCAGATATCCAGCCACCCAGCTGCCCAGACACCTAGCCTCCCAGACACCCAGACACCCACTCAGACACCCAGATGCCCAGACACCCAGACACCCACTCAGACACCCAGATGCCCAGACACTCAGACACCCAGATACCCAGATGCCCAGCCACTCAGCCACCCAGATACCCAGCCACACAGCCACTCAGACACCCAGATACCCAGCTACTCAGCCACCCAGATACCCAGCCACACAGCCACACAGCCACTCAGACACCCAGACACCCACTCAGACACCCAGATACCCAGACACTCAGACACCCAGATACCCAGATGCCCAGCCACTCAGCCACCCAGATACCCAGCCACTCAGTCACCCAGATACCCAGCCACACAGCCACTCAGACACCCAGATACCCAGCCACCCAGCTGCCCAGACACCTAGCCTCCCAGACACCCAGATACCCAGATGCCCAGACACTCAGACACCCAGATACCCAGATGCCCAGACACTCAGCCACCCAGATACCCAGCCACACAGCCACTCAGACACCCAGATACCCAGCCACTCAGCCACCCAGATACCCAGCCACACAGCCACTCAGACACCCAGATACCCAGACACCCAGATACCCAGCCACTCAGCCACCCAGATACCCAGATACCCAGCCACTCAGCCACCCAGATACCCAGCCACCCAGCCACTCAGCCATCCAGATACCCAGATGCCCAGCCACTCAGCTACCCAGATACCCAGCCACTCAGCCACCCAGATACCTAGATACCCAGTTACCCAGATACCCAGATACCCAGCCACTCAGCCACCCAGATACCTAGACACCCAGATACCCAGCCACACAGCCACCCAGATACGCAGCCACACAGATACCCAGCCACACAGCTGCCCAGCCACCCAGATACCCAGATACTCAGCCATATAGACACCCAGACACCCATGGAGTGAGAGTGAAAGTGAGATGTACAGAAACAGGAAAAGGAAGAAGCCCAGAGGTAAAAGGTAGACAGGTTAATTAGTGTCTAAAAGCTGACCAAGAAACAAGCCAAGCTAAGGCCATGCATTCATAAATAAAAATAAAACACTGTGTGATTTATTTGGGATCTGGGTGGTGGGCCCCCAAAAGAGTAATAAAAAACAACAAGGGACATTCTGACTAAGATGAAGTGTCTTTTCTCCTAATATTCATACCTCCCTCTGACTCACATTGGAGGACCCAGCCGTTTTGGTGTCACCCCTGTGTCAGTAAGTCCTGGAATGAATTTCACCCTGAAATCTTGTGTCTGTGTGTCTTTCTTCCATCTGACAGCACCTTGGATCATGACCTTATATTCTTGGATGGCATTTTCTAGAATGGGGGCACAGGTTAGATAAGAGTCTGAGGGAGGAGAGAAAGGAAGAAAGGGTAATGGAATACAGGTTCTGGAATGATGTCTGGGATCCCTGAGGGCTCTCCAGGCCTGGGTTGACCAGGCTCCTGTAGGACCATTTGCTATGGGTGAGCCCTTTGCTGTTGTCACAAAAGCAAAGGGGGACATAAGACCTGAGAAAGTTTTCTGGTTTGGTTTGGTTTTGGTTTCTTGAGACAGGGTTTCCTCTTGTGTAGCTTTGGAGCCTGTCCTGTGAGGTTTGGACTCACTCTGTAGACTAGGCTGGCCTTGAATCACAGAAATCCACCTGCCTCTGCCTTCCAAGTGCTGGGACTAAAGGTATGCAGCCACTACCGCTGGGCAAGACCTGAGAAAAATTTTAAAAATGTCCCAAACACAAAAAAAGGAGCCAAACACAACTTCCTAGTCCCACAGTCTCATGCAGGCCGTGGTGCAGAGATGTGTCTCCCATCTACAGCCTTCAGGCTTGACCCACCAGCACGCCACTGCATGCAACTTAAGATTTTGCTCATTCGGACAGAAGAGGTTACAGATATGCAGTAAAGCAGGTTCAGATGGAAAAATAAAATATCTAAGTAGGCTACAGTGTGTTTAACAATGCGAGTATGCTTAAAAAAAACAGAATATGGACAGTCATAAAAGTAAAAAAAAAAAGATTGTTTAAAAATAATAGTCCTTTTGTTTGTTTTCCAAGAAAGGGTTTCTCTGTATAACAGTCCTGGCTGTCCTGGAACTCACTCTGTAGACCAGGCTGGCCTCGAATTTATGAGATCCACCTGCCTCTGTCTCCCAAGTTCTGGGATTAAAGGCGTGTGCCACTACTACCTGGCAAGTAAAGTCTTTAAAGAAAAAGTAAAGTAATAATAAAAAAGAATAAGTCACGTAGAGATGGAAAGTACAGGGAATCTGCATCCTGTGTGCTATTGTGCTGTCTTTAAATGTTCTGATTGCTGATGAATAAACAATAGCTCCTGAGAGACATTGGTTTATGGAAACTGCTAAGTTAAACCACCTATATGTTTTTAAAATGTCTTAACAAAATCGAAGTAAAAAATATGTTGTGTTGGAGAAGAGGTTATGCTTCTGTTTCCATGGAAAAGGGAAGGTTGTAGATTTGTTCAATGTTAAAAGGATCAGGTTTGGGCTGGGCGTTGGTGGTGCACGCCTTTAATCCCAGCACTCGGGAGGCAGAGGCAGGCGGATCACAGTGAGTTCGAGACCAGCCTGGTCTACCGAGTGAGTTCCAGGACAGCCTCCAAAGCCACAGAGAAACCCTGTCTCGAGGATCAGGTTTGATTGGGGGATCCCCCCTGAAAACCCTGGCTACAGACATAAAGAAACAAACCTAGAAAAACTACAAGATAGGTGGCATATATTTTAGCTGCTCAATCATAGCACAAAAAAATTCATCTTTGGTTGACTTGTGCACTTGTGTTAATGCAGATATGAATGTTACCTTTGAAAGTTTATGTGTTTTCAGAGCAAGGGGACCAAACACCAATGAAAACCGGTGTCCCAGGTGATCCAGCCTCTCAGAATGCCTGTTACAGTTTCCGCAGAGTTCTGCATCCACAACAGCTTCAAGGCTTCTGGCCGAGATAGTTCAGACTACGCCAGCCAGGACTTGATCATTATCCTAAGGTTTTTGGTCATTTGGTGAGTTATGGATATTTGTCATCATTTAAGGGGGTTGATAACAAATTGTTATTGGCCATGGTCAGAGAGAAAGCTGAACAAAGCAGGTAGGTTCAGGGATCTCTTTCTG